TGAGGCATTAAACAATAAACCAACCAGCCTTACTTGCCCACTTATATATAGGCTTACCATGTGGTAAGAATAGTGTACTTTATCATGCCAATGTGTTTTCCATCAAGGCCACGATTCTCGTAAACATTTTACGGCTCATCGGAAACGACCGGAGCAGAAAGATGTGACCTCCGCAAGTGTTAACAATACATCGGACTTTGTGAACTTTGTGTATTGGAACATTGGTGGGATAACACACAAATTATCTGATAATGATTTTATTGATTATATCAAATCATTTGATGTCATTGGAATTAGTGAAACTTGGAGTAAGAATATAGATATTCATAATATTTTCCCAGATTTTGAGGTGATTGTAAAAGCAGCAGATAAAAAATATCTACCTGTGGAAGACTTTCCGGTGGGATATTAGTCTTGATACGTGATCAGTTTTGTAAATATTTGAAATGGACAAAAACAACACAAAATGCAGTTTTTATATTATTTGACCGTGCATTATTTGGTCTGGACAGAGATATCCTCTACTCGTGTGTATACATTCAACCAGAAAGCTCGGCATGGTACGATAAACTATATCCACATTGTAAAAATGGAATAATTTTATTTCAAGATTCTTTATTAGATGTTATATCTCAAGTACCAGATGTTTATATTCTCTGTGGCGGTGATTTTAATGCTCGAACTGGCACAAACCTGGACTTTGTAGAGGATGATTTATTAGAATACACAGAAAATCAAAAAGAATCCTATTGCGACTTTTAACTGACTTTTTTAATCTAAAACGTTTTTCCGCCGACAGAACTCTAAACAATTTTGGTAAAACCTTCCTAGATCTATGTTCTACCTTGAATATCCATATTATGAACGGGCGATGTGGCAGCGATCTAGAAACTGGGGATTTTACGTACATAGGCAATAATGGTACAAGCCTAATAGATTACATTATATCATCATCAATATTATTTGACCTTGTTGGTGCTTTTAGTATACAATCTCGTATCGAGTCAGATCATTTACCAATAACATTATCAGTAAAGACAGATCATGTTAGATATTCTGACGGGCGTGACTCAAATCCAAATAATGCTTACAAGTTTTTCTGGGAAAATGATAAAGCTGAACAATTTAGAGAGAATCTGTTATCCGATCATGTTCAATCATTACTTGATAAATCAGTTGATAACACATTTACAAATATTGATGACAGCATTAAACATGTCACTAATGCTCTCTGTTTAGCTGCGGAAAATATGAAAAGAAAACATCGAAGAAAATATCAAACAAATGGTATGATAGTGAATGTGAGAAACTTAAAACTAAACGTTGTAAGCTATTAAATAATTTTAGAAAATCGAAAGATAAGAGGTCATTTGAAGAATATTGTCAGATAAGAAATGAATATAATGCAGTGTGTAAACAAAAGCGACTTGATTACTTTAAAGAAAAGAGGCTAGACATAGAAAAAAGCATATCGGACTCCAAAATGTTTTGGCTTAAACTGAAAACTTTGAACACTTCTACCGTAGCAAAAAACAATATTAGTATGAATGAGTGGCATCGACATTTTAGAAATCTGTTCAACTTAGAAACGGATAATAATACTGATAACTTTGTTGACGATGCAAATCCATCAACGTCTCCTGACTCTAATTTTGCCCTAACAGAGGATATGCTGGATTCTCCTATTAGTAGGGACGAGATTTTGGACAGCATTACATGCTTAAAACCCAATAAATCACCAGGCATTGATGACATAATACCCGAGTTAATTAAGAATTCGGCTGATATTTTAGCACCATATTTAGAATTATTATTCAATATAATATTAGAATATGGTATTTTTCCAACTAGTTGGACAATATTATTGTCCCGCTCCATAAACAAGGCAGTATCGATAATCCAAATAATTACAGGGGCATTACTCTTTTATGTATTTTTAGTAAGGTTTTCACTTCTATCATTAACAGAAGATTAGTAACTTGGGGAGAGGCATTGAATAAAATAAATGAATCCCAGGCAGGATATACGACTACTGACAATATGTTTATATTACAAAGTATTATACAAAGATATCTCAACACCAAAGGTGGTAAACTCTAACACTCTTCGTTGATTTCGAAAAAGCATTTGACTCAGTTGACAGACAAAAGCTATGGTCTATTTTTAATACCCATGGTCTAAGTCCTAAAATGAAAAAAATGATTCAGAATATGTATGAAAATGTTAAAGCTTGTGTTAAGAATAACAATGAATTCTCAGATTCTTTTGAACTACAACTCGGGGTAAGACAAGGCTGTATACTTAGCCCATTTTTATTCTCATTTTTCATAAATGAATTAGCAACCCAAATTGAAAGCAATTGTGAGTATGAAATACAGTTACACCCTGACCTAGTACATATTTTTTTCTGCTCTTTGCAGACGATATCGTGATATTCTCAAGCACTGCTGCAGGTTTACAAAGACTTATACAAGAACTTGAGAGTTATTGTGACAAATACAAATTAACTGTAAATAGAAATAAAACTAAAGTAGTAGCTTTTAAAAAGGGGGGACGTTTATCAAAAAACGAGAAACGGTTGCATAAAGGTAAAGAATTAGAATGCACCAGTTCGTACAAATATTTGGGAATGTTCTTCAGTAATTGTTTATCTTGGACAGCACATGTTAATTACGCTTGTTTGCAAGCACAAAAGGTCATGATAGGTATCTTTAAACAATTAAATGTATTTGGAGACATAGATATAAGTTCATACTTTAAAATATTCGATGCCAAAATTAAGCCAATTTTATTGTATGGAGCCGAAATATGGGGTTTGAATTATTACAATGATATCGAAAGAGTTAAATTGAAAGCATGTAAAAGATTTCTTGGTGTTAAATCCAATACGATGAATACAATGGTGTATGGAGAATGTGGTAAATACCCGATGCACAAGTTTTCAAATATCAGAGTTATAAAATACTGGTTAAAATTACTGAAGATGCCTCCCTATAGGCTACCAAAGAAATGTTACAATACGATGATGCTATTCGATAAAAATGGACACACAAATTGGTTTTCTTCTGTTAGAAATTGTCCATTTTCGAAAGGGTTTGGTTTTGTATGGAACGATCAGTATGTTGATTCTGAGGGTAAGTTTCTTTTAGAACTAACACGTAGATTAAAATATATCTTTTTGGCAAGAATGGTTTGAAAAGTTATCATTTTCCTGTAAATGTTTGTATTATAAGATGTTTAAATGTACTTTTGACGCCGAAATTTATCGTTGAGAATAAAACTATTTTATTTGATATTAAAACTGACAGCTTAACCTACTTAGGCTTGATTTGCAGGTAAAGGGACATAACTCTTGGGAACTTAATTTCCCCAGCCTTCACCTCTGGTCCAAGGGAGATAACCCCTTTTATTAAGGTGCTAAGGGCCTTGTTTATGTTTTGTTAATGAGCTAAGGGGCATGACAGTTTCAAGGTCACCTTTTAAGCTGGTCCCCGGCTCCCTTTGCGCGCGCTAACGTTCGCCAAAGCTATTGTATATTGCGATATGCGAGACGGGGCCCAGCTTAGGTCACCTTTGAACCATAGCAGACGAAAATACCCGCCCTTGCCCACCCTTTTATGGATTTATGCTGTCTCCTATATAATAAATTGCATGTTTGGGGTTTGCAATGTTGCAATATTCATACCTATTCAGTGTATTCCTATGTCTAGGTTGAAGTATCTCCTCATGGAGAAAATTGCAGTGTTCGTACTGATTAATTACATGTTTGGATTTGTTAATGTTGTCAAGTTAAAATAAACTTGACCCTTTTCCCCCCCAAAGATCAGTTGTTGTGTTATCATTAGTATTGCTTACACGTTTTGATAAACTATGGAAGGTTTAATTTCATGTCTAAACGTAAAAAAGTATAGGATACCGTAGCAGATTAAGATGTTCTTCACATGATTTATTTATCGAAAGTGGAAGATTTAAAAATGTCAAAAAAGAAAATAGAACTTGCAAACTATGGGATCTTAACCAAATAGAAGATGAATATCATTTTCTTTTAATTTGCCCTGCTGATAATTCCCTGAGAAAGTTGTATATTAAGAAATATTATTGTGCCCATCCAAACCTTTATAAATTTTCAGCATTGTTAAATAACAAAAAACCATACTATACTTCAAAACTTGTCCATGTTTGCTTACTATGCCATGTTGTTTAGGACAGAATATATCTCAGAACACAATCTAACCTACAGTTGATTATTTTCTCATCTTCATGTATATTACATGTGCGTGTAAGTATTGATTTATAAATGTGTTGTACTACAGGCCTGTGGCCTTTCAGTACCGGAAATAAATAAATATAAGATAAGATCCTCACTTGTGTTTAATTGGTTTAGTTTTTCAGACTGAATTATTGGTTGAGAAGATTGAAGGTAATTGTTATGATGACTTTCAGAACCTGTGTGTTCCAGTTTTCAGCACATGCATTGGGCATCTATATACAGTGAATAAGACAAGGCTGTGGACAATTAGTATTTCACTTGATTTGTGAATACATTGTTATGAGATCAAGTGCCAGCAACTTGGTTTGTAATCTTGACAATCTTACTGATTCTATCCCCTATTACCACTATGCTAAGCACAGCCACATTGTCAAAATGGAGGTTTTTAAGGGGGAGTGTGTTAGCCGTGTGTATGCATGAGGATGGTGTTTATAGCACATATAATATATATTTTAACAGGATTACTTTTGACTTGCTCTCTCGCTGAGATGGCCATCTTGTCCATGATAGTGAAATTTCCTAAGTTAGCAGTTGTGTTGTTTTGTGTCTGAGATCTGCTGAGGCTGGGTTCAAATCCCATGCTTATACTGATAATGATTCTTAGTTTGTCTGCACTAAACCATGTCCGTGTTACGGGTTACGGCCTGTGATACAATACTGTTGAAGATTTGTAAGACCCAACACACTCACTCACTCCATTCACAGAGCCATAAAGTGGTCAGAGTTGTAGTGACAATTAAAACATTTATTTCCATTTGAGACTGCATGACCACACAGCACACACAACAAACCAGCAATCAGACAGCATGTCCCTATCCAATATCTTCTATACATGTAAAGTTAATACATTATACAAAGACAAAAACAAATTTTACAATATAAACCCTCTAGAATGGATGGGATTCACACTGTTGGCAGCTGTGGATTGTTTGTGCCCATAGTTCTTAAAAAATGTTTACATGAAAGTGAATATGAAGTGTATCCATGGAAATGGTCACCTCCCATCCTTAACGAGTATTAACCAACTTCATATGAAATATCAAACCTTGTATTCCAGGTGAGGCAGTATGCATAGTAATTAATGTATACATGTATTATGTTTCTGAAACAATCTGCTCAAGGTTTTGTGAACATTGTCAACTGACTGAATTAACATAAATCATGAATGTTTGAATTGACTATGAAACTTATATTCCACCAATTAAACAAACAAGGAAACACAGTAATTTTCTCCAAAAGGGGCAATGAAATCATCAGGGGTGGACAGAGCTTTTTTGTCACGAGAGTTTCAATGGTCATTTGACAAACTTTCAGGAGAAAGGAGGTGGGGGGTGCTCACACACACACACATCCCCCTCTGGATCTGCTTATGAATCAAGGAGCAATAAAATCACGAGCGGCAGCAAGGAGGAAAGGAAACAACGTAATAACATATATATTATTATTGGTCTTAATGAAAAAAGTAAATGGACTCAAGATGTAAAAAGACAAATTCAAACTTTTACTGTGGTCATGGAACTTGTTAACTTGTACCATCATTAAAAAGGAATTCTTAAGTAATGTGTGAAACATATTCTTACAACCAATTGCTTTTCTACAAAATGAAATCAGGCCAGCCCAGCGGCAAAACAGGGATAATGCTGGCAGTAAGAAGGACACCTGCTGGTAGAAGGTTTTACACATGTATACCACACCTTTGTTCATGGCTTGCAACATTCAACACAAGCCAGAGTATGTACATTTCATACCAACAAGCTGCGGAAACCAATACTCAGCTGGTCCCGAGACACAATTTTGATTTTGACTTGTTACACACAGCATAGAGCTATCCCACTGAGTATTCTTTATAGATCCCCATCCTATCTGCACTGCACCTTATAAGCTTCAGGGAAGTACAGGCATCATGGTGTAACAGCCAAAACAACATGACTGACTTCCTAAGTCAAAATCATAGGGGGCAGTACTGAGTCAGGTTACTGCCGCTTGTAAACAGGGAACCCTTCAGGGCTCCAAAATGGCAGAACCACATCATACATCTAGGTTAAAGTATGGGAGATGTTTGTTGTGGTATTGGTAATACAATTGTCTATTAGAAACTGGATGACAAAAAATAACATATATTTGTAATAAATTACACTGTTGTGTTAATGAAAAGGACAGATTTTCAAGATTCCATGAAAAATGAAATTGTGTATGGTATATCAGTGCATTCAATTTTAGAAAGGTTTAGCAATCAGGACAATGTTTTCTGGAGTGAGGTGATGATCGATGTATTCACGTAGGTTGCTGTCCATGTGATGATGTTGGAGGTATTTGATGCGTCCGTAGTCAATGAGGCTCTTGCACCTTCGCCCAATTTCCTCTCTCTCAGTCTCATTCAGCTTCAAACCAGACCTGGAAGGACAAAAACATTCATGACTTGTTCATGACCAGTTAGTGGCACCAAGTATGTATTCATGGTCTGTTAAACATGTTCTGGACTTATTCATGACCTGTTACAAATGTTCCTGACTTAATCATGACCTGTTAGAGACAGTTATGACATTTATTCTGTACCAGTACTAATTTTTTTGTTGGATGAATTTGACAAATGTGTAGCCCTACCTACTATTATGCTTTGTGTCAACCACAGCTACTGTACAATGTTATAGAGTGTTACACTTACCATCAATCACTTCCCTGCCTGGACAAGACTGGATTATTTACAGGCTGGATGGAATACTGGTGACCGAATGTCTTAAATAACATATATTTAGAAGATAAAGCTACTCTGTTTTCAATTTTGCGGCCCTTTTTTCATTGATTTAAGACCGCTAAATGTAATTAAAACACCGAACACTTACGTCTGAGCACTGTTGATGTCTGCAGCCTCGATGTCATGCTCGTCTGTAGTGCTGTCCTCGACATCCTCCCCTGGCCTGTTCTTCTGCTCCTGCTGCTTGATGCCTGGAGGAAAACATGGATAACGTACATGGATAAAACATCAGACTATGTGGGATTTACGTTATGTAGCTTTCAGCAATATTTCAAAATATGACAAATATACATACAAATAGTGATGTAGTCAGTTGTCCTTCAGCCCTACACCAAGCCACCCCCTTGTGTTCCTCCAGCCCTACCAAGCCACCCCCTTTGTGTGTTCCTCCAGCCCTACCAAGCCACCCCCTTGTGTTCCTCCAGCCCTACCAAGCCATGTACCTGTGTTCCTCCAGCCCTACCAAGCCATGTACCTGTGTTCCTCCAGCCCTACCAAGCCATGTACCTGTCTTCCTCCAGCCCTACTCAAGCCATGTACCTGTGTTCCTCCAGCCCTACCAAGCCACCCCCTGTGTTCCTCCAGCCCTACCAAGCCATGTGTACCTTTTGTACCTGTGTTCCTCCAGCCCTACCAAGCCATGTACCTGTGTTCCTCCAGCCCTGTGTTCCTCCAGCCCTGCCATGTACCTGTGTTCCTCCAGCCCTACTAAGCCATGTACCTGTGTTCCTCCAGCCCTACCAAGCCATGTACCTGTGTTCCTCCAGCCCTACCCAAGTGTTCCAGCCCTGTGTGTTCCTCCAGCCCTACCAAGCCATGTACCTGTGTTCCTCCAGCCCTACTAAAGCCATGTACCTGTGTTCCTCCAGCCCTACCAAGCCATGTACCTGTGTTCCTCCAGCCCTACCAAGCCATGTACCTGTGTTCCTCCAGCCCTACCAAGCCATGTACCTGTGTTCCTCCAGCCCTACCAAGCCATGTACCTGTGTTCCTCCAGCCCTACCAAGCCATGTACCTGTGTTCCTCCAGCCCTACCAAGCCATGCCATGTACCTGTGTTCCTCCAGCCCTACCAAGCCATGTACCTGTGTTCCTCCAGCCCTACCAAGCCATGTACCTGTGTTCCTCCAGCCCTACCAAGCCACCCCCTTGTGTTCCTCCAGCCCTACCAAGCCATGTACCTGTGTTCCTCCAGCCCTACCAAGCCATGTACCTGTGTTCCTCCAGCCCTACCAAGCCATGTACCTGTGTTCCTCCAGCCCTACCAAGCCATGTACCTGTGTTCCTCCAGCCCTACCTCCATGTACCTGTGTTCCTCCAGCCCTACCAAGCCATGTAACCCTGTGTGTACCTCCTCCAGCCCTACCAAGCCATGTACCTGTGTTCCTCCAGCCCTACCAAGCCACCCCTTGTGTTTCCTCCAGCCCTACCAAGCCATGTACCTGTGTTCCTCCAGCCCTACCAGCCATGTACCTGTGTTCCTCCAGCCCTACCAAGCCATGTACCTGTGTTCCTCCAGCCCTACCAAGCCATGTACCTGTGTTCCTCCAGCCCTACCAGGCCATGTACCTGTGTTCCTCCAGCCCTACCAAGCCATGTACCTGTGTGTTCCTCCAGCCCTACTCAAGCCATGTGTCTTCCTCCAGCCCTACTGTGTTCCTCCAGCCCTACCAAGCCACCCCCTTGTGTTCCTCCAGCCCTACCTGTGTTCCTCCAGCCCTACCAAGCCACCCCCCTTGTGTCCTCCATCCCTACCAAGCCATGTACCTGTGTTCCTCCAGCCCTACCAGGCCATGTACCTGTGTTCCTCCAGCCCCTCCAGCCTCTACTGCATGTACCTGTCTTCCTCCAGCCCTACCAAAGCCATGTACCTGTGTTCCTCCAGCCCTACTAAGCCATGTACCTGTGTTCCTCCAGCCCTACCATGTACCTGTGTTCCTCCAGCCCTACCAAGCCATGTACCTGTGTTCCTCCAGCCCCTACCAAGCCATGTACCTGTGTTCCTCCAGCCCTACTACAAGCCATGTACCTGTGTTCCTCCAGCCCTACCAAGCCATGTACCTGTCTTCCCCTCCAGCCCTACAGCTCCTCCCAGCCACCTACCCTGTCTTCCTCCAGCCCTACCCCAGCCTCTTCCTCCAGCCCTACTTGTCTTCCTCCAGCCCTCCAGCCCTCCAGCCTTCTACCTGTCTCTCCAGCCCTACACCTCCCTTGTCCTTCTCTCCAGCCCCTCTCCAGCCTACACTCCTGCCTTCTACCTGTCTCTCCAGCCCTACACTCGGCCTTCTACCTGTCTCTCCAGCCCTACACCCAGCCTTCTACCTGTCTCTCCAGCCCTACACTCCAGCCTTCTACCTGTCTCTCCAGCCCTACACCCGCCTTCTACCTGTCTCTCCAGCCCTACACCCAGCCTTCTACCTGTCTCTCCAGCCCTACACCCAGCCTTCTACCTGTCTCTCCAGCCCTACACTCAGCCTTCTACCTGTCTCTCCAGCCCTACACCAGCCTAGCTTCTTCAGCTACCTGTCTCTCTCTCCAGCCCTACACCCAGCCTTCTACCTGTCTCTCCAGCCCTACACCCAGCCTTCTACCTGTCTCCTCCAGCCCTACACCCACCTTTCTCCACCTGTCTCTCAGCCCTACACCCGCCCTACCTCTCTCCACCTGTCTCTCCAGCCCTACACTCAGCCTTCTGCCTGTCTCTCTCCAGCCCTACATCCAGCCACCTACCTGTCTTCCTCCAGCCCTACACCCAGCCTTCTACCTGTCTTCCTCCAGCCCTACATCCAGCCACCTACCTGTCTTCCTCCAGCCCTACATCCAGCCACCTACCTGTCTTCCTCCAGCCCTTCCATGTCTTCCTCCAGCAGGTGGCCCAGCTGCTCATGCTGCTAAGCAGCTGGAAGTCCCGGGCTGATATCCCACAGTGCTTCATGAACTCCTTGCCGACATACGCCTTCCATGTACATCTGTGATGACAGCACAGTGCTATCACTACACCCGAGGGTAGTCTAGTGAGGAAGGAAAAAACTCAATTACTCACATAATATAAGAAGCTATAACGGGTCTGCTTTATAACCGTAAACAAGTATTCAACAAGCAAAATATATCAAATCAATTAGAATCCATGCATGTTTAACCCGTAGCCTCTCACCAGTGAGGGTACACTTTAACATAGTCACTCAGGTACTTGTGAGTTGTCATTCATGTAAAGGTGAAAGTGATAGATGATGACTGAGTCTCCAGCTTGTGTTAGCCATATTTTAGACCCTGTCCTCTTGTAAACAATAGAGCTTGGAACACTCAAACAGTGGATGATGAGCAAGATCTATGTGGTGGGAGTCAAAGACACACACTCAGGTCACATGGGGTGCCAGGTAACAACATCGCAGTGTACTTGTAAGCATAGTAATGTGCACCCGTTGAAAGAGGAAAACTATGGCTGGTGTCACAACTTTTTCAATGCCTACCTGCTTTTATGCTCTTTTCTGGGTTTCTTGGAAGGAGATTGTTCGCAGGTTTTGTTGTCATCTGACTTGGGAAGCGTTTCCAGCAGGCATCTCAAAGCTAGATCTAGCAAAGTGGAGGAAAATAATCAGTTTAAGTACTTTCACCCATAACTTTAATGAAAGCATTTAGGATTAATTTCTTTACCAATTCTATTTCAAAAGATTGATTACAATGAAAGAAAACACACAAGACCACACACAACAAAATAATTTCTTTAAAAGAATTCTTGTTTTGGCATAGATGCCAAGGTGATCAGAAACAAAATAGTACAGAAAGTATTCACCACATTTTAGAGGTGTCCTTACTCTATACAATCTGCACCTAGTGTTGTAAGTTATTGGAAAGTTCAGCTGACTTGACTTCCTGTAGTGCTTGTCATAAGAGGCGACTAACGGGATTGGGTAGTCAGGCTCGCTGACTTGTTTGACACATGTCATTGTATCCTAATTGTGTAGATCGATGCTCATGCTGTTGATCACTGTATTGTGTGATCCAGACACGATTATTTACAGACCGCCGCCATATAGCTGGAATATTGCTGAGAGCTATGTAAAACCTAAACTCACTCACTCACTTCCTATAGAGGAGCAGGGAGGTACATATTGTATGGGGGTAGAAGACTGAATGTTACTGCAGGTCGTACCTGTGGCTGCACCACACAAGTGTTTCCCCATGGCAACCACTGGACGGTGGTCATCTGCTGAGATTGTGTTGTACTTCCCTAAAACAAACAAAGCCTACATGGTAAAAACATAAATAGAATTTACTAGAGATATGCACATAGTGTGCAGCCACTGAATTACTCCCCTTTGCAGACCTTGGAAATGCAGGCGGAGACAGATACAGTGAAAACATGACACATACTAGACACATGACACATCTTATAGTCACATATGTATACTTCCTGTAGAAATCCCAACAAGTTATCAAACAACAAGACTCACCCAAATTTAAGTGTTCAATGTCTATCCTGAGCCTTTCAAACTTGGGTCCTTGTTCTTCTCTGTGCTGGTTGTCAAGCTGAAATAATATTAGAATATAAGGTGACAACTTTTAAATATTCTGTTACTGATGAATTAATTCATTATTTCATTTTCAGCATTGACAGATCAGTGTAATACAGAAATCATAACAATGAAACATTAACTATTTAATACAATTAAACATATGCATTGTACATGTAGTCCCTCCACAATCTTCTCCAAAAGGTCAAATAAAACCTTCTCATTCATATACATGCTGTTGTACAATGCTAAATATCCTGCCCTTATTATTATTCATGTTTTTCCTATCAAATGACCCTAAGAAAACAAATTAATCATGTTTATTCACAAAATCATTTAACCAGTAAGATACACATATACATCAGCGTAGTATGACTGCTAACATACCCACATGCTTACTTTGTATCGGATCGTGCCTTTGTCCACCAACACAAAGGAGACTTTATCACACTTCTCCACTGCTCTCTGTACCCAGTGAGACAGCTGACCTGCACGTGGGACATCACACAGTGGTCAAGGGGCAAATATTTCTACTTTCACAATAACATAAAAAAATAAATATAAAAATGATATTGATAAGATTACAATCCCAAGTGAGCGGCAATGTAACAAATTCTGATAACAAGCCTGCATACCACCATTCCAGGCAATACAAACAACTAATTTTACCACCAGCTAAATGAAGGAGTTTAGTATTCATTTCAGTTTCAGGACAAATCCTTTTGAAAGCAATGATCACTATTTGAAAATGCATTTTAAAAATTATTATTTGGACATTCTTTACTAAGCTGTCAGAATGCATATTAAACTGTTAAAAGCTAAACCTGCCCTGTACAGTGCACTGCCCTCTCAACATACCTTTTCCTGCACCCATCTCCACAAAGCAGACGCCATCTTTGAGCAGCTGCAGCTTGTCTAGGTGGCCGACTAGTGAGGCCTGCAACAACAATAATATTTAACCCAAACTTTCAGCTTGTCTTCATCATTCACAGAACAAGATCTTTAACATTGACAGTTAATAAGGTCAGTTTGTGATGTTTATTCATCACAGAAGTTTTGACAGAGACCGTCAGACTTTGTAAAAATAATCACTAGTCAAATGCATATCATATGGCCACTGCAAGCACCAAATAAATCCAAACCAGACGGAAATCCCAGGCAGAAATGAATAAATGTAATTGTTATTGTGATAATAATAAATATTTACTCTGTAATCAGCAAAATCCAATGCACTGAAATATCATATCAGCAAACACATAATGAGTACAAAGTGACAGTAAAGGGTTCTTGTCATACCACTGAGGTCTGGTTAGAGTTACCTGCCCTTGTCCAAAGCTGTACTGAAATTACATTATACTGAAATTACATAATGTATCTTTGAGAGGGATACCTGCTGTTTGCGATGTCTCAATGCCGGTGTACCATATGAAGGATTCTCCAACTCTTCCCTCAGACAGCTGTGGCTGAGGATGTCGGACTTAATGTCCTGTATGTGTTCTGTTGATAGAACATCATTCATCAACATTCTGTCAGCTATATACTCAAAGTGAACATTTACTTTTAGGTACTTTATTGCAGAGCAGGCTTTATATCTGTCTCATTGTCAGTGCTGTGAGAATACAATCCATAATATTTTGTAATGAGAAGTTTACACATCCTGTCCATTGGACAAGAGACCAGTCCCATTGCTGTGAAACTGATGTTCATAGCTGTATGAGGGACACACTTAACCCCTTATGCATTTTTCACAAGTGTGTATTCTTAAAATGACATAAACAATCACAGACAACCTCCACATTTTAGGGAGTGTGCTGGGAATTCCCCAGCAAGAATAGAATGCATGGTCTACCCAGTTATTTATGGTGCTTATAGCAGAGACCATATAATAGATTATATTATATGGTCTCTGCTTATCGTGACGTTTGGCTGAGTTTCATCCCTTGGTGGTTCACCAGAAACCTGGGATAGAATCCTTGTACACTCTGTTTATGTTTCTAGGTTTGCCTGCATCATGAATATGCATATGGACTTCTCGATAGAGGTAAATGTATGTTGAAGACTTGCCTCAGTCTGGGCTTTCTCTGAAACTTAGTTGACACAGCATGATATAACTGGAATACTGATCAAATCAGCGTTAAAACCCAACTCACTCAAACTTGGCATGAAGAGCTACAGAAACAATGTCTGAACCCTATGGTCTTTGAATTAGTATTTTGCATACACGGGTAAATGTTTGAGTGTCATGTCCATGATTGGATATTGGTACAATCAGAGACCATATAACAGATGGTCTCTGGTACAATCCATTCTATAAACAACACTAAGAAATGCACATCCATACTTGACTCTTGCCTGACTGACAAAGAGCAAACTATGAATTAAGTTCAGTAACTATTTGACACATCTTTATAATCCGACCGCCTCCGTGGTGTAGTGGTTAGAGCGTCCGCCCGGGAGTGCGGAACGTCGCAAGTTTGATCCCCGGCCACGTCATACCAAAAGACGTTAAAATGTGGTACTTGTTGGTCCCTGCCTGGCGCTCGGCATTTATGGGTACAACAAGGGCTGGTCGGCTCGGAGTCAGTATAATGTGTCTGAGTGGGGTATTCATGCTCCACTGCGGCATGGTATCTCAGTCGGCTAGCACTATAAAACCAGCTTGAGTCTGGGCTAGTACAAGCAGCCGCGCATCCACATACACAAGCATGCACGTCGTCGTATGAGCGAAATATTCTCAAGCACGACGTTAAACCCAATTTCACCTCACCTCACCTTTATAATCCCCCTTTGAATGAGTCTGGTTGGTTAATCCATGATGACTAAAACTAAATCACCACAGCTGTTACAAGTAAATGTCATGAGATGCACCGTCAGGCTGACTGACTTACTGAGGTAGTTACTAACAGATACCTCTAATCTAACTAGAAAGTGTGTTTACTCGTAAACACAGATGTCTCCCCCTTCCCATAATTCAACGTTGAGACCTCAAACAATTCGTTTGATTCCTTCAATTTAAAAATCTTAAAGTATGAAAATACATATTATACATGTTTTATAGTGGTACATGTATATGGTTGATGCTTCTAAGCTTACTAATAATTGGTATCAAGTTTACAAAAGTTGGTGAAGATGGGTGAAGTGGTTTTAGAGTTATGCTCCGAACACAAACACTACCCTTCAAAAAGACCAAGTCCAAACTTGTTGCCATTGAAACAGAAAAAAAAATTGAAAGAAAAGTTCAAACCCCCAAAAGGTACATCTACATGATATGGAGAGGCAGTATTCCAAATCTGGTGAAGATGGGTCAATAGTTTCAGAATTTTGCTCCGGAAACAAACTTTACCCTTCAAAAAGACAAAGTCCAATTTGTTTCCATGGAAACAAAAAAAAAATATAGTAGAAAAAAAACTCAAACCCCCAAAAGGCACATCAACATGATATGGAGAGGCAGTATACCAAATTTGGTGAAGATGGGTCAATAGTTTCAGAATTTTGCTCCGGAAACAAACTTTAACCTTCAAAAAGACCAAGTCAATTTGTTTGCCATGAAAACAAACAACAACAAAAAAATAGAAAAAAAACTCAAACCCCCAAAAGGCACATCTACATGATATGGAGAGGCAGTATACCAAATTTGGTGAAGATTGTTCAAGTAGTTTTAGAGTTATAATCCGGAAACAATGGGAACGCCAACGGAAACTCTACCAAAAACATTATGTCTCCCGACCCTTTGGTGGGGGAGACATAATGATGATATTATGTAAATCTTCTTGTTACTGTTATGGTTAAATAATTGCCGTGACAAAAGGTTTAAGAATCCCCTTTCAACCAGCAAAATATAACACAGACAAGTCTAAAATATTAAATAATATATAGAGCAAACAATGAGCAAGCTACAATGAATCACAATACAGATTTCTAGTAGAATGCAATTGAGTCACAAATCTAAAGTTATGGGTCACTAATATGAAATATTAGCTCACCAGAGTTGTGGTAACCACAGTGAGATCAGATATTCTAAATGGAGCTTGTTTACAAATGAGAGCAGTCAGGCACGAAGTGTCAGGGTCAGATGATGGCGATGTAACGAAGGACGAAGGCAAACAACGATGGGAAATGACACAGATTCTCGAACATTCCAGCAAAGCATGGCTGTATCATTAACCACTTAGATCTTTCTCAAAACGTGTTGAACATACGACATGATGATGTCAACACATTAACATCTGGTCAAGGGAGGTAGCTCTGGAGCGCTATCATAAAGGCGAGCCGCTAAATTACTGTTGCCACTGAACATATATGACTCGAAATGTGACCCACAACCAACACTCAAAACTTTAAACATTGTGACTCATAATTATTATTACCTAACCAAAAAACACACTCTCGTAACATTACCATTGTATAATTTATTCACTCTGTCAATCAGATTCTGCAGTTCCTCATCCTTCACAGTACACACTGTAACCTGCAATAAACAATCCACAGTCTAACGGGAAGATAGTAGAGTGCATTCCTAATGGCAACCCCTCCATTCAATACATTCGTGTATAAAACTCCATATTGTGCCACAATTACAGTGAAACATAACATGAGCTTCATTATATCATTAAGTACTTTTTATCCAAATTACCACTAAAAATAAGCCAAATCGGAATAACTTAAGAACATCACAATGAAAGATATTGATATTTGACATGTAACGTCTAATCAAGAACTAAATTTGTATCATGTTCATAAAACATATCAAACATAACACTGACACATGCAGAAAGCAGTTTCTACTTTCATCTGTGTGGCCCACAATTGTCAACCAAGTAGGAACTACACGATTTTGATTACATCAAGACTTTCCATATAAATTTGCTGGAATAAATGCCCTCTGTCAAATGGCAAAACATTTTGATTGGTTGGTTGTAATTAGATGTCCGAGGAGAAAAAAATAAGAACCAGAACAAACCTTGGGTTCAGGGGCAGCGTCTCCGTCGTCATTGCCGGCATTGATCCCCTGCTGGTGGTAGCACTGACAACCACAACAGTAGACAACAGCATCAGCAGTGAACCAGTCATACAATCGCTAGAATTTAGTGGTTTATAAACCTACTGCATTTTGAAACTATAGAATTGATACCTCTTGATCAGTCTAAGTAAACTTAGGCTCAGTATTATTCGTTACACTGCTGTAATGAGTCTTACAAAACCTTGTAGAAGGTCCGTCAGCTAACCTTTTGGACTGACCAATCAGAACACAGCTTACCAAATTGGGAAAGTTAACATTCGCACCGTTACCTCAAAAACTCGGAACGATTCCGAATGCTATTTTCCACACAATCGCTTCCGAGTGATACACACAATGAGTAAACAGTCACTGAAAATAGCGTTTTTGTCAATATTCAAGGATGTCATCTTGCGAAAATATAAGCAAATAGTAACCATGTTATTAGAAACCCATAAGCGTATATACTGCAGGTCAAATATCTGTGTTTTATGAGGATTTTCGTTTGTTGATAGATCAGTGTCAGCGACCAGGGAAGAGTAATTCAAAAACCGTTTTGTAAGTCCCGTCGAACCCTAACAAGTAGTCGTTGTCTGATTGGTTAAATCTGTTCGGCCGTCTCGTGTTTGATTGGACGGTCATAGGTCGCTCAAAGGTTAGCTGACGCGACCTTCTACTAGGTTTTGTTAGACTCAGTATAGCAGTGTAACGAATAATACTGAGCCTAAGTTTACTTAGACTGACCTCTTGATATGAACTTGGAAAAGCACAAAAAGTAGATTTATCTCTCAAATAATACATTTATCATCATTAGATGTTCATCCCTGCAGATTTCACATAACAAATATTGTCCTATTGTTCCCAAGTATGTATTTATGAATAACTTAACCCTGTATTTACATTCCATTGTTGTCAGTTGAATGACACCATATGGACACAGTTCTACCTGATATTTCTGATTATCAATGTTTTTAGCCAGACCTACTTGTAGGTACACTGAGACAGTAATAATCACCTCAACAGTATTCTTTGTGACACTCTTGTTACATTTCTTTAAGTGTTTTTCCAGACTGTCTTCATAACAGGTACTGAAACAGAGTGAAAACAAGGTTCGACTTTATATATTTGTCAGGGTAGAGATTGCAACCAGAGTTGCTAGTGGAATAACCTAAACAATCGGAGTGGAGACTCAGATTTTTATCTTTACTAGTAGGATACTGGTACCGATTACGATCTGAGCCCTAATACATACATCAAGGTATAATCAAATGGTCAATATTGTCACTCTGAACATCTCCAGTTCTTGCATTTCCATAAACATGATAAACTACAAAAACTTCTGGATCCATTCACATGGTTCTCACAATCTCAAATTACCTGCCCTCAAAACACAAAACATGTTATCTGTTGTCTGTGTCACCATGGTTATCAGCAGGTTACAGTGATCAGGTCATGATGTTTTGAAACTTGAAAAACTCACTGTTTTGGATCCAGAGGACATGGTATCCGTTTTCTTTCCAGTTGAACCTGAAATAATTGTTCACAAATTAGACAAAATCCCAAACCAGACAAAATCCCACAGGGCAAAATTTCTTAATTTCTTTGGACAAAATCCTGGACCAACATAGGACAAAATCCCATTTTTATATGTTATTGCTACCCTCTTTCACCAAGAACCCAGTGAGTTAAAAATCACGTTTTCATGACAGAGGCCAGTGAGATAAGTTGATTAGCATGTTTTCGTAACAGAAGCCAGTGGCTGCATTGATAAATTGTATAGATGTGTCTGAGATGATGACTTTTTTTATCAGTGTTCCAAAAGTGAACATTGCATTAGAACATCGTGGGTCCATGAAGACATCGTTGACAATGGAGAATCCGGTTCTTGTTGCATCTCATAGTCATCCAGCAGATGAGTCACATGTAGAAGTCATGAAATTGAGAATCCAGTGACCGATCAACCTTAGTGAAATACGTCAACAGCCCATCCTTGCGACGTGTACCCAAGTCTTCAAACTTGATGTCTGATGTTCAGTTTCAACTGCTGCATTTAATTGGCCATAATTTATTTATGAATAATATAAAAATAACTAATTCAAAATAAATTGTATGTCAATTTTTCACACTGTTGGGATTTTATCCACAGTGTGCAGAAATTTTGTCTTATAGGATCTTGTCAGGTTTGGGTTTTGTCCTACCCTCTTTGTGGCTGATTTTTTTGCTTACATCAGCACTCTGTTAGTTTTGTTGTTGTTTTGCAGTTGTTTGTTGCTTTTTAGATAACACTAAAACCGCTTATGAATTTATCTTGTGTGTAAATACGTATACTTTGTTTGGCCATTCAACATATGTTAACAGGTTTGAATTCATCATATCTCCTTTAATCGTGTTGATGTCTATTTGTTCATGGGGATTAGGAGTGGGACAATATACAGTCCTGGCAAATTGGACTCAAGCACTTCCTTATTTGTTTGCTGACACGTATAACATGTATAAGATGAATATCGACCTAACAATGATTACACTAGATACGAAACACTAGACATTAAATCAAGGGATATACGTACATAGGGACAAATTAAATGGCTTCCTTGTTTTATACAATCAATGTTCAGCAAGTTATACGAATTGTGTGACCGTCAACACACTTCCTGTGTAATCTTTTTAAGAAGTCTGGCTAAGTTTTATTCACGTCTCAACATAATCAATAGGACAAGTATTTCAAACACATATCGTACGTCGAACTGTCTTTTTGCTTACCCCCATAACACAGGCGTGCTCAGCACAGTATTTTTGTCCTGTGTTCGGTCTAAATTTGCAGAATCGCCTCTTCTTCTGTAAGAAAAATGCACAACATCCATACGGGGGCACACTGTCTAAACTGTCAAGCTTCTTAACTTCCATGATCAAGCTCAAAATGTTTGACCTCAGTGAAAAGCTACAAGAGGGAAATCCCTTTGGAATATCCGGAAGTAAACAAGAAAAGTGGAAATGAGTTCCGCAGCAACTCTCATTCATCTATATTACTCGTTAAGTATGTCAAAATAAAGCATTGATGTCTTTGTCTAAATCATTTGCTATAATCAATATTTTATTAGACACCATTCAACAAATATGGAGTAGACAAGTATGATGAAATTAATTTATTCGACGTGATATTTCAATGATAATTTACTGCGATACGCACTTTCATGGCGGCGAGCCCGACAAGGGTAGCATTACTTTGCAACATTTGTTGAGGCATTTATCATTATTTATTAGTAGTTTCCGGTGGTTTCGTGGGATCTGAAATTCAAAATGTTAATTACACTAAAAACCTTGCAACAACAAACGTTTAAGGTTGATATCGCAGAAGAATCAACGGTAAGAAAAATCGGCACAATGCCACAAGTGTATTTCCATCAATAGCTGTGATTACCCACGCGTTCTCTTATTTCCTTACAGTGATCTAAATGCTTTCAACATAAATGTGAGATTTTATGTTAAAATAATGTTTTATTTCCGATTTACAGCATTTGAAAGTTGGTTACGAGAGTTTAATTGTGATGTATTTACTATGATGCGACAAGGCCGCAGAACATTCATGAATGTTTCGTTAAAAATAAAATGGCAGTTATCAGCAGATCAGAACTCATTCTCAGATATAACACCAGATCCGCTTTGAGCAGGTATCAGACTTTGTGAATATACAATCTCTGGCGAATTATTCATATATTCTAAAACAAAAGTATTCTTTAGTATCCAAAATGAATAGGAAAGATAGACTTTCTGAAGTTATTCTGAATATTCTTACATATCCCCCATGTAATTTTGTATATACTATATCCCGGTGTCAGGGGTTTTCGACGATGTAAGACAATTTTTTTATCTGTAATATCATTTTAAGTTTCTATTTAATAACCATGAGTGATAAAGGATAGATTCATCTATTTCACACAAAAATATCAAGTGTTTCCTACAAAAAAAGTAGCGTTGATGACATCGTATCGGCGAAACTGTTGCCGCTCGTAACATCCAGGTATTTTGTATGGGTTTTCAACGATGAACCATACTTTTTGCTCCGCACTGCGATGGAGTGCTGTGATCACGTGGCTTCCTATTTACATATTGCCTGTCACAAGCAGACGACTGATCTTACTGAATTTTCGCTTGCTATTTTTTGTTATAAAAGGCAACTGATTTTGCATCTGATGTGGTGTTAACGATCTCGGGTAAATAATATTGATGTTTGTTTGCTTTTTATAAAACTTTACTTCCCAATTTCTATTGTCAAAAATACTTCTCACGACAGCGACTGGGCATCCGCCCTACCAATGAAACTGCTTGTGCACTCTGATCGCTCACATACTCCCTAGATATAGCACGAGCAATGCAATCGTCGAATTCAGCTCGTGTTGGGATACATATCCAAATGTGAAGAGAATTTGACATTCTGGTGTATTTATTATATACCCAGTGTTTGAAATAGCTGTACATTAGAATGCCCAAGGCAAGTTAACTTTGAGTAAACAGGATGTAACTGAATAACAACTGGTACATAATTGGGAGAGGTCATTTGGGGACAAAGAACAACAAATGCGACTGGTGGAGAACCCATCGTAATTCACTGCCACAAACCTTTGCTCAACTGAGACCAAGGATACATACCATTGGCCTATGAAGAACCTTGTTTATTGGCTTCATCACCTGTCCCATTTGTTGTTCTTAGACCCCAACTGGCCTCTCCCAGTTATGTACCAGTTGTTGTTCAATGACATCCTGTTGTTAATCTGCTGTTGTCATAACATACCCATTCTCTTCCTACAGAGGTTACTTGTCATATCTTCCTATGATCCTCTGTTCTATAACAGCCTTTTCATGGTGCAAGTGTTCAGGATTCGTGATTGGTTGCATTCAGATTTTGTTGTGCAATCAGCATCCGTATGCTTCGGGGAAAACAAGAACCTCTTCCCCTGCGCGGTGCGCAAACGTTTCATCTAGACAGAACTAAGTCATGTAATGGCGGATCAATGGTGTCTCCATCGAACTCGTTGACAACAGACAACCTAGCCATTAAATATCTTGTGTGTCACATCAATACAAGTCCCCGGCAGAGGAGGGATATTTGTGGCCCCACATTTGCTTGGGGGAGTTACACACATTGCTATATTGTTCACAATAGTGAAGATTATTTTTAGCGGGGTCTTCACATGAGTACTACCATTTGCATACAATTAAATGATCCATGTATGTCTAAATGTGTATGTTACATTTCCTTGAACTGGACAAACTGTACCTGCGGAGATTTGACCGATACATTTTGGATGAACATGTAACTAAATGTTGGACTGCCCATACCCACTTGTACTTAAACTACTGTATGACTGGAAACAAAAAAAATCAAATTCGTACCTGCTGACGTCCCAGATTTTGAGCAGTGATCGTCACCACAGATGTGAATGAATGTATAATGAAAATATGTTTGAAATGTATGAATGTTTGACATTTATAATGAGTGAATGCTGGGAAAGTAATAGTGCTAAAAATAAACTGCAGAAATAACTAATGAATAGATTATAGGAAAAATATATCTTTTGTCGACAAACTTTAGAACAATTTACATCATAAGTGGTTATGGGTCATCCCAAGTTGGGGACAAGGCATAAACATTTGGATACGGGTCGACCATAACACTTATTAACAGGTATGAATCTGACTATAATTTTATGTGTGATTTAGCCATTTTTGTTGGTTCCAATCTTTTTGGGTACGTATTATCTAGTATTTTGTTTACAGAGATTTATTTTTAAGTGCCATTGCAATACATAATACAACTTGCCCTTAACAGTTTCATGTTTTCACACTGTTTGCCAATCATGAAACAAATTATGAGTCATGTTGTGTTATAGGACATTAGAAGGGACCTATAGGAACATATCATGTGATTTGAGCATGCATGTAAAAGTCATGGAAAGAAAAGCTGTGGGTAGTGACAGACCGTTTTTCCAATTCCCATGATATAATGTCATGGCTATCAGTTCCAGCCAGGATGAATGATTCATAACCTCTGTGAAATGGTACTGGTATATTGCAAAATCAGGAAGACTATTTAAATGCAGATAATCTTTAATACAGACACAGGTGCTCTTTGTTCCTTTGTTGAAGCACAAATTGCTATTGTTTATTATTTAGTTGGCGCAAAGAAATGGTTGATCAATATAACATTATAGAAGGAATAAAATAATATTACTTGGAATAAAATAATAATTCTTTTTAAGGTATGGCACGAACATAGTGTCACAGTCACACAGGTTTTCTGTTGTCATTTATGTCTCTTGGTCACATAGGCAGTACTATGTATATACACAGTACTGTATTGTACTGTATTTTTTTGTGGAAATTTCTACCAGACATTGATACGCACAGAAAATTTCCAATTACGCATTGAAAAATAATTGTTGCGTACCAATTACGCATTTAAAATGTTAGATAACAACAAAGTTTAAAACATATGCGTACGGAATATATCTATAAAAATCACTTGCGTAATGAAAAGGACATCGATTGGTATCAAGCTGTACTCTTAGTATAGGACAAGTGTTGTACTGTCAGTACAGGATGAGTGATTTTTTATTAAATCATTTCCATTATATTTAAGTTGGTTTTGCTTCAGTATGACATAAGGCAGTACGTACCTGCTTAGTAAACTTACTCAATGACATATACTTGGGTGAGTAAAATCACTGAAATACCCACATATTTGAAAGCAGTGGGCAACGGAAAATGAAATACCCACTCAACATTCATAATACCCACTCCCAAAAAAATACAGTGGGTACACTACCCACATGAGCTAAATCTTATCTGGAGCTCTGACAGTCAACCCTCAAATTTACCAGTCCCAGTAACAGCTTGCTGGTCGATATCTGGTATATACTATATAACGAAAAACAACCAGTCACATCACTGGAAATATTACATGTTCAGGCAAGTAAACATTTGGTGATGTTGACAGTTTAGTCCATGTCAATTTCCTGGCTGCTCATAACTCTAGGTGTTCATCCTAGATTCTATGTTGCTGGTGCTTGTGTGGTAGAGCAGCCTAGTGACCATCAAGGCCAACATTCACATTGGTCACATCCTGTTTAACAGTTGTACAGCTCCAAAAAGGGCCTATTATAGTATTAAATGTCCCCCAACTCACTCATTCCATGAAATACCCATGAAGATCCGGGGTAGAATAGGTCTTCAGCAACCCATGCTTGCCACAAAAGGCGACTATGCTTGTCGCAAGATGCAACTAACGGGATCGGGTGGTCAGGCTCGCTGACTTGGTTGACACATGTCATCAGTTCCCAATTGCGCAGATCGATGCTCATGCTGTTGATCACTGGATTGTCTGATCCAGACTCAATTGTTTACAGACTGCCGCCATATAGCTGTAATATTGCTGAGTTCGGCGTAAAACTAAACTCACTCACTCACTCACTCATTCCATGAAAATGTGTGTGTGCCATTTTACAGGTGAAAGAACTGAAGGAGAAGGTGGAGGTAGAGAAGGGGAAAGAATTTCCTGCTGCAGGACAGAAGCTCATTTATGCAGGTAGGATATGTTGTTTATCATGGTCAGGTGTTCATCATGTTTGTTGTTCAAATGGGAAATCATGGCAGAATATCCGCTGGCTCCCAGAATCCAGAGCTAGTTGAGTGAAGCGGAGGATATGGTGTTACTTCACTGGTTATGTATTGTTATAGGCCATGACTGCAGAGGTGGTGATGGTGGTTCAGGTTTCCAACCACCCATGAGGATCCCAGGCTGAAAGGTCCAGTGTTGTTTGAAAGTCCCAACTAATTTTGAGCGGGTGGCCAGGCTTGCTGAAGTGATATAATACTTGTCGTTGTACCCTGATGGTGGAACCTTGCTGAAAATATCAGTCACTGCTTCGTCTGGTAACTGATGTGGGTGGCTGATATGTGATTGAAATATTTATGAATGAGGTGTTAAACAAAAAGGAAATCATTCCAGTCAACTAGCCATTAGTTTCCATTATATACATGGTGGGTGTGCGTTTAATTCACGTTGCAGTTACTGCATTAATTTATCTCATTCTGCATTTAATAAATATCATCTTTATGCCGCTAAGGCGTGCTGCAGATAGATCACGCAAACAAAGGGCAAAACATGGCAGAGAGTCCAGATATTCCTTCCAGTCAGCTGCTAGCGGTGCGACCCTCTCCCGTCTGGTGTTCTCTGCTAGAGACCCCTGGCGCGGAGGAGCGATGGGGCGGTAGATCCGTTACCTCGAAGAAACGAATCGCCTCCCCAGACATCCCGTGCATTGCAGACTAAGTCTAAGAGGGCCTCATCGTCGCTCCTCAGCGCAGATTGAGGACACCCAGGGCAAGCGCAGACTTCCAAAGGGAAATCTACGAGAGACAGCAAGAACTTTCTCAGCCGAGATCGCTCCAGCAGCAGAGTTGGGCCTCTCTGGGATGATCAGCCGATAATCGTCCCGACTTTACTGCAGAAGAAGCGACCGTTGTCAGCGAGCTGTGACTTCTGCAGGGAATCTCCATGCAGCCTGATGTACCTCTACACCGGCGCCAGGCGTCATTGATGTGAACCCCATCGCAGAAAAGAGCGCTTCGACGACTTCGTCCAGATCATCCCAGAAGACATGATCGCGGCAGATTATGAACATCATGGAGGACCACAAAACTGCTAAAACGGGTCCGACAGAACACTCGCGAAGGCTCCAGCGTGGAACAGCACCCCAGGGCACCCCGTCAGCGTGTGCAGCCAAGGCGATGTCACCTTCGCTGGCGAGAGTCCCGCACCACCTTGGCGGAAGGACCTAGATGTACAGCCTTCGCGAAGGCCTTCAGCGGGCGGGAGAGATCATCACCATCTTCGATTTCATCTCTAGATATGGACTCCAGACCATCAGACATCCACGGAAGCCTTCAGCTAAGGTCATATCATCGATCCCCGGACCGGGCCGCAAATGAAGCTTGGCGAAGGCATTCGCGAAAACGACATATGATTCCAGATCTTCATCGTCCTAGAAGAACATCGAGGACTGCGGAGAGCTTCGCGAAGCTATCAACATTCACCTCACAAGTCTCGAGAAGATCATCCCATAGGCGATCTCCACTCCGTTCATCACCAGGTCGATCACCCATCAGATCTCCACATAGAAGCGGCGACAAGTCAATCCAGATCAGCATACAAACCTCATCAGATATTCAGACAGCTACCGCGGTCCCCGAAGAGCATCTACAATTTATTAATGATGATGGTTTTGAGGATGATGGAGGAATCATATTTTCTGATGCAGAATACGGTATTGGATGGTCAATAACCTAGATCTCACATCACCATCTAAAAGTGGCAATACAGCTCAGGCGCATTTGATGAAGGAAGATGATCCAGATGCAATCACTCTACCCCGATCGACCCGATTAGCGGCAGTGCCACAGAATCTAGATGCAGCTTTCCAGAAAGCTCACGAAAGTTCAGATACCACATCTACCCAACTTTCAAGCCAAGAAGTTCTCCACGCACGATAACATGGACTCCTTCTACAAGGCCCAGGACATCGATGAGAACTATAAGATCATCAGCGATGTAAAGAACAAGATTTACAAGATGGATGATCGCAAGTTGGCTCATATAGAAACCATGACGAGAGGCCATATGTTCTTTGGGTTAATTAGATCTAGGACTTATCAATGAGACTCTTATTACTAGATTCGGATTCCACGGCCAGGAAGATGATAGAATGATTTATTCTGCCTTACTTATGCAAAGAAAGATCAGCAGTTTTAACGGATCATCTTACATCTGTTTCAGCAGCACTGACCTTAGCTTCGTCGTCAAGGCCTCCTCGCCTCCTGTAATTGGGGAGAACTTTACAGCCCCACTTTATACAGCCCGTGGTCGGACAACATCCATCTTTGACGGAGAAATCGACAAAGTGCCAAAGGAAGTCTCTAAGGATTTCAGGGAAGTCCTTATGATTAGATCGATGGACACACTAGCCAGCGCCATCGGGCTGTCAGACTTCACAAAGATACTCAGGCAGATCTAAGTTCACGGGCCTACAAAGAGCAAGAGACAGGAAGATAGCCAGCTCCTAGAGGTAAGATTCTTTTAAAATTAGCCCATATGGCAACTATAGAGGAGGATCAGGAAGAGGCAGGACACCCAGAGGTTCCCGCAATTATAGGCAGCTGAAACACAGGTTGAACGACTGGAGTCTTCCACCCCAGCCCGTTCCAAAATTACAACCAGCTCAAGTGGGTGGGCCATCTCCAACTACACTGGGAAAACTGGGAATACTGCAAGATCCTTACGCCTCCAACATTATTCAACACTTGATTTCAGATCCCTCTACAGGACAAGCCTCCGCTGACAATCAAACCCCCAAGTTCGATTTATAAGCCAACAACTACCAAAGATAAAGAGGTCTCATCACTCCCTATCCAAACAGGCCATAGAAGTAATAGATCAAGCAAACGTCGAATCCAGGTTTCTACTCCCCAGTTTTCCTAGTTCCCAAGAAAAACTCCACGGAGAAATACAGACTCATCTACAACATGAGCTTTTTCAACAAGAACTATCTACGCGGAAACCACGAGAAGTTTCACATGATACATTTACCTCAGTTACGCCAGATGATTAGTCCTATGGACTACATGGGCAGCATAGATCTACAGGATGCCTACTACTGTGCATCCCATTCATCCCGATTCCAGGAAATACCTACGATTTACTTAGAAGGGCTACATTACCAGTGGAAAGTACTCCCATTCGAATATCATCAGCCCCTGGCTATTTCAATGGGATAATCGAAACCGGATTATCAAATTTCTACATCGTCGCAAGGGCTACGCGTAGTCGCCGTTTTACCGCGAAACGACGGGATACAAGTAGATCAAGATCCACTGCGCCTCAAACTACAGTTAAAACTACATCATTAAAGCTACTAACACAACTAGGTTGGATTAGTAAACTTACGCTAAGTCGGACTCTAGTACCATCGCCAGACTCCACGGAGTTCCTAGGTATCTGATTCATCACAAATCGCGAACCGTATTATGGTACCAGAAGACCGCTGGCTCAAGATACAAATAGACCATTCCACTAGCTCTACTCTCCGCTACCACTCATGCGACAATGGCAGAGCCTACTAGGTCTTCTCACATCAGCCCAAGACATGACTGTCACAGGCGAGATTACAGTTACGTCCCCTACAGGTCCTCATCAACACATCTCAACGATGTACAAACTATCTAGCTCCACGAAACATCTCAAACCACATCTACTATGGTGGACCAAGAATCACGAATGTCTGCGGTATGGGATTTGTTTAGCAGAGCAGGAATACAAAACCCATCTGTATGTAGACGCTGCCACCCAAGGTTGGGGAGCCCATCCTCACCAACCACGAATATCAGGGTTATGGAATCAGCAAGAATGCAAACTCCATATAAACAGTCTAGAAATGAAAGCTGTAATCAACGCCATTCTACATTGAGCACATTTCTACCACAAATGCTTCAGCCTAATGATCCATACAGACAATTGGACAGTGGCGTTCTACATAAACAAGCAAGGCTCAACGATCGATGAACCTTTTGAACCTAAGCTCAACCGTTCGATTTAATACAAGATCTAAATCTACATGTCAAAGCAGTGCACATTCCGAGCCAGAAATATACTAGCAGGCGCTCTCGGCCGGCCTCATCTACCATCACCACCAAGAGTGGATGATCAACCGGAAAATTTTTGCACAGATAATCAAGCAATTAGGAGCTAGCGGGCTAATAGACCTATTAAGCCCGCGGCGATTCAACAATCAGCTACCGACATTGCGTGTCACCAGTCCCAGACCCCCAAGCTTGGGCAACGGACGCTCTAAGTCTATCATGGAAGGCCTCAATGCGTGCGCGTTTCGCCGCCAGCAATAATACCTCCAAGTATTACAGAAAATCAGACAAACACAGAGCCTACAACTCACTTTGGTCGCTCCCTACTGGCCGGCCAGAACGGGTTTCCCATACTAATTCAAGGAATCGGTCAACCAACACTGGAGCTACCCAAGCTTAAAACCTGTTAATTCATCCTCACACCAAACAAGTGCCGCGGAAACCCAGCAATGTTCCAACTACGTATGGACTGTATACAAATGTGTTTAAACAAGAGAGGATATTCTGCCAGGGCGGCAAAAGCAGTCACGCGCTTGCCTTACGTTACTCAACTCGTGAGCAATAACGGCGACAAGTGGCACAGTTTGAAAATTATGCAACAAAGAAAGGGTTTACAGCAAGAGAGGCTTCCACAACCTCAAGTGGCAGACTATTTGTGTTACCTACGCCAAAACAAACATTTAAAAGGTTCTAGCGATATCAACATATCTTGCACGCTTAGCTCTGTAATCACCATGAGAGCGGGTGTCAAATTGACAAGATCTCCAGAGTTACTGGCTTTACTACGAGGCTTTCGATTGGAGGACCAAAGCGGAAGTTCCACTAGCTTGGGATCTGAATGTAGTGTTACAACACCTCACGAGTGAGGTCTATGAACCAACAGGAATCGACAAACTTTGAATTTCTCTCACAGAAAACATTGTTTCTGCTATCAGCTAGCCACAGCAGCAAGAATGTCTGAGAATTCACGCTCTGGATTACGAGGAGGATACAGTTTGATGACAATCATAACACAGAAGCACCTGGGATTAAGATGGGATTTCATTGCAAAGAATCAACTGCCAGGTCAGCCAGACAGATTATTCCACATCCCGGCTATCCTCTATTCTCGGATCACAAGATACACAAGACCCTATCACTGTGTCGGTAAGAGCTCAAAGTTTATTTCTTACTGACGATCCAAAACAAGGAGAAGATTTCTCAAGCGTTTATTCATCCCATTATAAGCCACTCTGAATCAAACAGAAGTGTCACGGACCACAATATCTATTTGGATAAGGACTGTCATTCTCCGTGCCTACAAGGCAGCAGGCTTGGACCCACCAACAGCATCAAATCCACATGAGATCAGGGCACTGGCCTCTACCCTCCCTACTGCGGTAACTGTTCCTTGAACGATTATGGAAGGATGCTATTGGAAATCTAACATGGTATTTGCTAATCACTACCTAAGAGACATCACTACAGAAGATGTCTCTGGCATTCCTACATTTCCGGACCACTGGTCCTCGCTCAGCAACTGACAGTCCCTGGTAGAGTTAAAATATTAGCCTCACAAAAGATTAATATGTATTTTATACATACTCATCTAGCTTATAACTCTAAGGAGTTTAGGGCTATGTATATATGTTCAGCTTAAGTATTCTACCTTAAGCATATACTTGGATATAGTCAATTTCAGTGCCTCTATCAGAGTCACCTATATATATATATATATAATTTATATGTATTGTTCAATATATTCATAATGTAATTCCCCTTAATGGCTTTATATAACCTATGGTTTTCTTTATACAGGAAACATCCTAAATCTAAGACTTCAAGTGAAGTTCCCGTAGGGAGATATTACAGTATATCTATACAAAATCACTAATTATAAATCCAAAGTATTTCTGTTACCCACCTCCGTTCAAGTAGGGATGCTACAAACAAAGAGCATGAGTCAGGATAAGGAAAATATGTAATTTTAGAGTAAAATTGATATTTTATGCTTATCCTGACTCATGAGGTTAACCCTCCCATCCTCCCCCTTACATAACACTTTGGATTTCCTGTAAATTCAAGTGTTGGGCTCAAGCTAAATCAGGAGAGAGTGGAGCACATGGCCAGAGGGTGGCGACACCTTTTCCCGCCAGGGGAGACAAAGGGGAGCAACTCGGTGGTGAGTACCAATTAGTGATTTTATTTTGAAGGGAGCTTCAAATAAGGAGATACAAGTGTTCCACTATGTTCTAGTAAGAAGAAGAAGACAAGCAAAAGAGCATGAGTCAGGATAAGTATAAAATATCAATTTTACTCTAAAAATTACATTTTGGCATTTTGTAACAGATGATCCATAAGTAAATAGTAAAATGTCACAAATATGTCAAAATGTGCATCTCAGCCATAACTGTCAGTTTCAGTTTCTGTGGACTGTCCTGTCACTGTGAAGGGAAATAGTAAACATTTAATGGTTTCATTATACCAAGTGGACCAAGGTCTCACTCTACAGTATTTTCATCAAGTTTTGAGGTGGCAGTGTAGTTCAAGTGGCTGATTGTAACATTGAAGGCATGGATTTTATTTCCCACATGGGTACAATGTGTTAAGCTTATTTCTAGTGTTCCTACTGGGGTATTGCGGTGATAAACAGTCTAAAACTCTACTCATTAATTTCATTAAGTTTTGAAGCTACAGATTTATTGGGTCATAGTAAAGGTAGAAGGACATGGATGTCACTTGAGTGATAACGGAATGGAAAAATGCAAAACAATGTCTTGTGTTACAAGGAAATCAAATGGTGACAGGAACCACAATGTTTGGATGTCAAATCATTTGCTTTTGAGCTGATTTTAAACAAGTGACAAAACACGGTCTGGTAAAAGGCGGTTTGAGCTGACTAACAACTACAGTAAATGTAACTGCTTCCAGCAGTTAGTCACTTGAGATGTTCAGATGACATTCGTGCTAGCAATAATAGTCATTTACTTGAATGCTAATTGTACTGATGTGTTATCAATGCTTTGTTTTCAGGAAAGATTTTAGAAGATGACAAGAAAATATCAGATTATAAGATAGAAGAGAAGAATTTTGTTGTTGTCATGATAACAAAGGTAGGTGTAAAGTATATAACTTGACATTGAATGGACGTGTGGCACCTAAATGTGTGATTGGTTTCTAGATGTGGGATACTAAGAATATCCCATTTTATCATACGACTGGAACGTGTTCAGCTTCGTTTAAGTGAAGCAGATCGATGCTCATGCTGTTGATCACTGGATTGTCTGGTTCAGACTCGATTATTTACAGACCGCCGCCATATAGGAGGAATATTGCTGAGTGCGGCGTAAAACTAAACTCATTCACTCACTCACTCACTCACTCACTCACTCACTCACTCACTCACTCACTCACTCACTCACTCACTCACTCACTCACTCACTCACTCACTCACTCACTCACTCACTCACATTTAAGTTAATATACGTATGTACATATTTCAAGTTCACCAGCTGCATGCTTTGTAACAGTATGGAATCCCTCTCAGTTGTTGAGATGTATAGGACAGAAAACCAGAATGTTATTATATCAGACAAAGTGTGTTGTGTCATGAGACATTGTAAATACTTGGATGATGGCATTTGTTTATAAGTTAAAGTTGTCTTTTATAAGTTACTAAGATATTTTATATGTGTCATGTGATTAGCTGTAAAACAAGGAATAATATGGGGATATATTATTCAGGTTAATTTTCTCATGGTTTTAGTATTCAAAATAACAATGAATTGTGCAATACAGCCAGTCACAACACACAATGCAGGTAAACAGGTAAGTTGCACTGGCGGGAGACAGTAAAACGTATCAGTGATGAATTACACATGTATTATGTTACAGCCGAAGGCGGCACCCCCAGCCAAACCAGCAGAGAGCACCAGTACACAGCCGGCTCCCACAGAACCTGCCGCTGCATCTGACCCTGCCCCCACCCCTGCCCCCACCCAGGCTCCCACCCCTGCACCAGCACCAGCACCAACCCCCGCACAGACAGAGGCTAAAGACACACCCAAACCTGAGGAGGCTAAGCCAGAGGATAAGCCAGCCAGGTGCGTGTATCAAAGCTCTCTTTGTGTCTCTCAGAGCTCTCTTTGTGTGTCTGGGATTTTGTTAATGGGGAGAAGTATAGCTGACTCAAATAACATAGCCCATTTATGTTGAAATGTTAAGATAATTTTATTATTTCACCTTTTTCCCTTTGATACAAATTTCCTCTTTCGTAGTAATTACAACTGTCAACATCTTGAGTTTGTTGTTAAACAATAGAGCTCTCATTACTGAGGAAACCAGTGAAGGTCCAGGTTAGAATATTGGCCTTCAGTAACCCATACTTGTCATAAGAGGCGACTAACGGGATTGGGTGGTCAGGCTCGCTGACTTGGTCGACACATGTCATCGTATCCCAATTGTGTAGATTGATGCTCATGATGCTGATCACTGGATTGTCTGGTCCAGACTACAGACCGCCACCATATTGCTGGAATATTGCTGAATGTGCTGTTAAACAACAAACCAACCAACTGATTACTAAGGAAGGGTATTCTGACCATTTAATTAAAATTGATACAGTGACACATTCTGGGAAGAAAGAACTATGATTTACTGCATATTCATTTTCATTACCAAAAGAAATATTGTGGTATTTCTTTGTTGTTGTTTGGTTGCTTGCATTCTGGCACATGTATCTTTGTGGCCCTAGAAACTGACACCAGCCATATTAGCTGGACCATCTTGAGCAAAGATTTTAATTATATTCATCATAAATAAAAACACATTGATGCCTGTATGGAACAGGTCTCCTTTCGGTCTTTAAATGGACAATTTGGTGCTCAAGCAATGCGACTTTATGTATTGTTGCTGTTGCCCATGTTATCAACCATTGTTTTTCTGTCCCAAACATTGATTATTTATCCACTTTTAGACACCTTGAATATAGTGACTGCTACTAAAAACGAACATTTTGTCACTTGTTAATGTTTATAAGAATGATTATTGCATGGACAAATATGAGAAGACCTTCCACCTTTCTCCGTATCAGCACCCCAGCAGCCACTGGGACATCTGCGTCCAGCGACGCCCCAGCACAGCTAGCCGCAAGTGCATTACCCCAGTCAGCCATACAGTCAGCAGAGAGCTCCCTTGTCACAGGCCAGGAATATGAGAACATGGTGATGGAGATGATGAACATGGGCTTTGACCGGGAGATGGTGGTGCAGGCACTCAGGGCTAGCTTCAACAACCCGGATAGAGCTGTAGAGTATCTGCTAGGGGTGAGTTGGGATTGGGGACACTGTTGTCTGTTGGGGATGGATTGATGGGCATGAGCATTTCATTCTGCAGAGTTACGTCCCCTTAGACATACCAGAAACTAATCTGAGAGTCATGCTGATAACTCTTTTTGGTTATTTGTGCTCTAGGATTTCATTACTTCAGATATTTTCTTCCACATTAAGACAACACTGTGACAAGATGAATATTGTTTTTGGCATAATAAAAACTGAAGTTACTTACTTTCAATCTCAGTAGGGTTACTGTTGAGGACATATTCCCTAAGGTCACTGTTGTTATCTTAGTGCAATATATGTCCTCATGGATCATTAGTTTGACTGATATGTAGTCAACACATCTACTGAGGCTGTATAACAAAACTCCTCACTGTGATAAATCATGAACTTGTGCTCAACTCAGGGAGATTAATCAGGTAGATCTGGGGCGGTGGGGTAGTCTAGTGGTTAAAGCGTTGGCTCGTCACGCCGAAGACCCGGGTTCGAATCCCCACATGGGTACAATGAGTGAAGCCCATTTCTGGTGTCCCCCGCCAGTGATATTGCTGGAATATTGCTAAAAGCGGCGTAAAACCAAACTCAGTCAGTCAGTCAGGTAGATCTTATGCAGTGGGATGGAATGTACTCCATAATGTCATATGTTCTCAGTACATCATGACTGTAATCAGTTGTGTGATGCAGATATGCACATGATTACAAATTTGATTTTCATTACACTGTGTCATGCTGATGGCTGCAGATGCAATCAATGCAAATATTCTTGTATGTGTTTACTTGTTGAGACATTCATGCCTTGCTGCTTGTTGTTTTAGGGTATTCCTGCAACACCAGTTGCTGTGGTTGATGACCCCCTCCAGCTCAGCCTGCCCCTGCCCCACCTGCAGCCACCACCGGTGCTCCACCCCCCACACAAGCTGCACCCCCTGCAGGTACCCCCCCTGTACAAGGCCCGGCTCAGGGGACAGGCTCCACCCCAGCCAGTGCTGCTCCTGTAGGAGGCAATGGTAATTTTTTTATTCTTAGCTCTGATGCCTTTTGTTAAATTTATGGGCCGCAAGTTGTGCTCATTGAAGTTGTTATGGCTCACCAAAGTCAGTGCTTTGTGAAGCTATCTAATATGATGTGAATGTTATATCCCATATTATTCCCATGTTCATGTATTGATATATTGAGGAAAAGTATTTACATATATAAAACTTGAGGAGATAACAGGAAGTTTTAAACTGTTGATATGCCTACATGAAATGTTTGACGGTCTCTGACTGTAGTCTTTGACTCTGACGTACCCTACACCTTGCCACTAAAATGGTGTCATGGAAGCAAACTGGAATCAATTCTGTCATTCTGATTATATTTTTCAAATTTATATATTTTTACTCAGCTTCCTGAGTAAAAATGCTGCATGTATATGTATAGGTCATCTTGTATGGAATGGAATCTAGGAACACTGTTATGTATATGTATTTATTCATGGGTTTAGGTTACTGAATATGAATTGTTCTCCTGTCTCATTCTACAACAATGGAATGTCATGACAGGTGTTGTGTTTATAACATATTGTGTGACAACCTTTCTGTCCACCTTGCATATTTCTCTACAGTAAGGTATAATGTTACAGCCCTTACAGAATGAGAGTCATTCACTCTTACATGAATATGAAACAAACAAAAACGTCTTTACTTTCTTTAAAAATACTGCATATAGTCTTCTCTCCTCATCTGTGTGAGGGGCGGAGGGGTAGCCTAGTGGTTAAAGCGTTCGCTCGTCACGGTGAAGGCCCAGGTTCGATTCCCCACATGGGTACAATGTGTGAAGCCCATTTCTGGTGTTCCCCCACCGTGATATTGCTGACATATTGCTAAAAGCGGTGTAAAACTAAACACACTCATCTGTGTGAACTATAGTCATTCTACTAGGGCTGCTTCACTATACCTTACTTTTGAACAAAAGAAATACTTAGCCTTCCTGTCTCTCTGCCTGCTTGTATGTAGTCCTAGTAATTAGTAATCCATTATGTTATGCTTTCAGCTGGAGACCCATTATCATTTTTACGCTTACAACCCCAGTTTCGGCGGATGCGAGAAGCTATTCAAGAAAATCCTCAGTTACTCCCAGTTTTGTTACAGCAAATTGGTCAGACAAATCCTACTCTTTTAGCAGTAAGTATATCTCACTCAAATACAGATAGTGTGTAGGCCCCTGACTCGGGAGCTGATTGGGCCTCAGCAGCTCAGTGTTTCCTGTACTTGTAAACTTAATGGCTTGGATGGTTATGGTAGGGCATCATTGTAAACGTAATGGATTGGATGGTCATGTTATTGTACCTCAACGATGTAGATCGCAGCTCACAGTGTCAATCCCCGTACCAACATTGCTAGCAGAAGGGTGTGAAATGGTTTGTTAGTAGTATACCCAGAATCCGTGGAACTTTGTTATCTTCCCCTATTTCTTTACCGGATGATATTTCCCATTCTGTTTGTCTGCATCACTAAAATGGAGTGAATCAGATTGCAAACCCCAATAGTGACATCAATCCAACAGTTGATTTTTTGTGGTCAAATGAATAACTGGCTCATACATCCACCTGGTAATCCTGCAGAAGTGGATTAATGGTATTTTGAGAGATCCCTAGAGTTTACAGAGTTGATGGTGACAGTTTACTTGACACAGAGGTTGTGACATGTGACTTTTTATTTCAGCTAATTAATCAGAATCAGGAGCGCTTTGTAGACATGTTAAATGAGCCACTCGACGATGAAGCAGCGGAGCCCCAGGGGGCTGGGGCAGGGAGCGGCCAGGGTTATATACACGTCACACCGCAGGAAAAAGAGGCAATTGAGAGGGTAGGTTGTTGTACAGTGTTGTCAACTTATGAGTGAATGAGCTGACAAATGAGGATCAGATGGTCTCAATGTGTGTTCAGGCTGGTTGATTGTGTATTATGTATTGCATGATCATTCACACTGGATAACTGTTAGGTGACAAGCCTGGCTATTGTTAGTTGATATAATTGTCATTGTCACTCTGTAATAGTTCATTAAGGTATGTGTTTGATGTCTTGCAAAAAATACCCTGGACTCATTTGAGAGCATAGCTTAATTGGACTAGTTGTGTCAATATCGCAGCCCCTCCTATCTCCTATCTCTAACCACAGAGGTTTTTGTTATCCTTGTAGCTAACGCAAGTCTTAAGAGGATTGTTTGGTCAGTGACTGATTGAGTATTGTATGGGCCATGTGGATTGTTGCTCGTACTCTCTGTCACTGGCTTGACTTTGCAGGTCCCTGTGATATAGATGGAATATTGTTTACTGAATGTTAGCAACATCTTCTCAATTACTTCACTCTTATTATTAGTTAATCCTCTGTTTTCTTCATTCACAGTTGAAAGCATTGGGATTCCCTGAAACATTGGTTGTTCAAGCATACTTTGCCTGTGACAAGAATGAGGAGCTTGCTGCTAACTTTTTGTTAACCCAAACATTGGATGATGAAGAGCAGCAAAGTTGATCATTTTAAACAAAGACAATTGGGATAATTTCCCCAACAGTTATACACATGTAAAGAAAATCTTGGGACTTTAAAGGAAATCATAAGCCCTGTGGAAGATGGTGAAAGTGGTGTCCGTTTTCTTGCATGGATGTACTATCCATAGTTTTGAGAAGGCGATGATTGTATGAAATGCTGAAAGATTTTATGCCTGCCCTGAAAATAAATGTGCATACCATAGTTGGTCTCGATATAAACTCTTGCTCTATCCACCCATCGCAAATATGTACAAACTGATGGTGACATTTACTGATGGAGACGTGAGTTGGAAATTGTACTAACCAAAGTCATAGTTATCTAGGTTGCTTAGTGACCAACTCTGCAATTGGTTAGTCACTGTTCCAAACACCATACATGGCCGACCTGGAAGAGAAGGCCCTAGAAACTGCACCCTTCAAACCGGGTCCCTGCTGGTACCGCCCAAAGTGGATGACACCTTTCGTCGTCCTCCAACCTCAGCAAGATCCAAAGCAGCTCCTCGCCATCTCAACAGCCAACATCCCTCGCATCAAATTCACCATTGAAACAGAGCAGAACAACCAACTACCTTTCCTTGATGTCCTGTGTCCCGCACCTCCTCCAACCAACTCCAGACCTCCGTGTACAGAAAACCAACTCATAATGGATCAATACATCCACTACAACTCCAACCACCCACCTAAAGTCAAGACCGGGCGTCATCTCTACATTGACCAGAAGAGCCAAAAACATCTGCTCAACAAACCTACAGGAAGAAATTGAACACCTGAGGAAAGTCTTTGTGGAACGCAGCCACTACCCACCTGGAAATAGTCAACAGAACCATCGAAGCAACGCTTTCACCTCCTGCCAAAAGGTCTAAACCAGAATCAGCCCCCATCAAGATATCCATTCCCTACATTGGTAAACCATCACACCAAATCAGCCGACTCCTGAAACAACAGGCAGGAATAGACACTACCTTCTCGGCGTCCTCCAGCCTCAACAACCTCCTCCATGCCAACGGAAGAAAACAACCCACCGTCCAACAACAACAACCCGAAATGTTTATTTACAAATAGACTGTGATTGTGGACAATGCTACATAGGTGAAACATCCCACCCATCAACACCCGAGTCAAAGAACATCAGCACCTCTGTTGCTAATTCCACACCAAATCAGCTATCTCTGACCACATCAAAGCTAACCCCAATCATCAAATAGAGTGGTCCGACATCACCATTCTCGCCAACAACCAAACGGACTTCACTAAACATAAGCTCACAGAAGCCATTCACATCAAACGCCACAAGCCTACCATCAACCGTGACCAAGGATACTTCATTCCATCTGCTTATGATCCACTCCTCCACCAAGCCCAGTCTATTGTATAAACATCGCATCCATTGTATAAACATCTCATTGTAACTACATCTCTGGCTTCCACTCACTATCCTTTATGTACTTACTGGCTTCATCAGCTTACTGCTTAGCCAATCATGGCAATTATGTTGTTTCCTTTGTCTATTATGTTGTTTCATTGTTATATACAGTATATATATGCAGCTCCTACACTTCATGTACCACTCTTGCTTGACAACGGTACAAGAATCTGTATCGAACGTCGATGACTCAATGAAAAATAAAGAAGTTGTTATCCATAAAACTTGTTATATATAGCTTAATTGGACTAGTTGTGTCAATATCGCAGCCCCTCCTATCTCCTATCTCTAACCACAGAGGTTTTGTTATCCTTTGTAGCTAACGCAAGTCTTAAGAGGATTGTTTGGTCAGTGACTGATTGAGTATTGTATGGGCCATGTGGATTGTTGCTCGTACTCTCTGTCACTGGCTTGACTTTGCAGGTCCCTGTGATATAGATGGAATATTGTTTACTGAATGTTAGCAACATCTTCTCAATTACTTCACTCTTATTATTAGTTAATCCTCTGTTTTCTTCATTCACAGTTGAAAGCATTGGGATTCCCTGAAACATTGGTTGTTCAAGCATACTTTGCCTGTGACAAGAATGAGGAGCTTGCTGCTAACTTTTTGTTAACCCAAACATTGGATGATGAAGAGCAGCAAAGTTGATCATTTTAAACAAAGACAATTGGGATAATTTCCCCAACAGTTATACACATGTAAAGAAAATCTTGGGACTTTAAAGGAAATCATAAGCCCTGTGGAAGATGGTGAAAGTGGTGTCCGTTTTCTTGCATGGATGTACTATCCATAGTTTTGAGAAGGCGATGATTGTATGAAATGCTGAAAGATTTTATGCCTGCCCTGAAAATAAATGTGCATACCATAGTTGGTCTCGATATAAACTCTTGCTCTATCCACCCATCGCAAATATGTACAAACTGATGGTGACATTTACTGATGGAGACGTGAGTTGGAAATTGTACTAACCAAAGTCATAGTTATCTAGGTTGCTTAGTGACCAACTCTGCAATTGGTTAGTCACTGTTCCAACTGCACCATTCGTTCAGTTGATGTAATAATGTTGCAGATTTTCATTAAGATGTGGAGCAGTGTGCACAGTATTTGATTCTGTTTGATGTTCTTGCTAAGCATAACAAATTTTTACTCCAGGTATTTATGGCGCATAAATTCTTCACGTAACGAAATATTACGAAGCCACAATTTGCTGAAAGTATTTTGTGATTGTCTGCAAACCTCAGGATTCGTGCTGCAGTTCACGCCAAGTCTTAGACAAACATTACACTGCTTTTTGATACTATGGATACTCAACAACTGATGGTAGATTTTGTCTACAGCAATCAACCATGCTTACTGCACTGTGACCTCAGACTCTTTGCACCACATTTACCCTGTATGGAGCAACATCACTGACTGCATCTGGATGTTAGTGTTATCAATGATATATTATGGACCAAGAATTGCTGTATTTCAAAATTTTAAATTATATATGGCAGTACATTTTTTTCAGTTATTACACATTTTTTTCCAATTGACTCAAACATCCACTGTACAGATATTTAGAAAGGTTTCTCTGAAATATCATGGTATATATAAGTTGGTTACAATTTGTATGTTCTGACAACCAATCTACTGATGTCAGTTAAAGCTTCTGTAAATCTCTTTCAGTTGTTAAGCCAGAGGCAGTAAACATACATGTCACTGTGCACTGTCCCTGCATGTATTCTACATTCTATTGTGTGCCTTGGACAGTCAGTGTTGTCTGTATGCACCACATGTTCACAAACACTGTTTCAATCAGGGAACCAAGCTTCCTAGTGTGCTATATCTCACATATCAGTTAATTTATTTTAAAATGGTAGCAGGAAGATGTAATTGAGAAATACTTGTTGAAGCTGGTAATGATGAGAATGCTGATTGGCGTAGCCACAAATTGTCTGATGTCATGTTAAATCAGTGAGAATTTGGACACAGTGTTACATGGTGTTCACAAGATGTAAAAGGAAAGGACATGAAGATGTGTCGGGTGTGCCTTTTCTGTTGGGTTCCATCACAACATTGTTTTGACAACATCACTTTATTGTCACAAGTTTAGGTGTTTCAGGGGAGAGCACTCTGAAAACTGATTGAACAGTGGCTTTAGTTTAAGTAATTATTTAATTGGTTAGTATTTTCCATTGGCTCTTGCATTCCATTCATGGGATTGATTATTAACGGATAAACATGAAAATTTGATACTCCTTGTGTTTTATTTCTTTTTGTCATTAAATGATGAAAGGTGTGATTCTGATTCTAATAAACGATCTTGTTGTTGATGTCCATAGTACTCTCAAAGCCTTGAAAATTAGCAGATGCTACAAAAATCCCTGCTAAAATTTTATGAATAAACTGTTTATTCAACTATGTAGTTGTTGATTTCATTTACATGGATTAGCAACCATTGTCCAAGATGGGAGTGACAAGAGGCATCTTGAATAAACCGATTCTTGAAGCTTTTTGCAAGTTGAACTCAGTTCTCAGCCTAAATAAAAATATATTGAATAACCATTCTATATAGATAATGTTATGTAGTAAGTAAATGTTAGTTTAGATAGGTTTCTTTCAGTTTGCAGTTCAATAACTTAATTTAAAAGAAAGGTTTGTAGGCACCATAGTATGTCCATGGGTTTCACCATAGAGGTGAAAATCAGACCTGCAGCTCTTCAGGCTTCCTTTCCACATCATGATTGGTGTTTAAGTGAAACAGTTACCAGAGCAGAGTGAGGTCTAACTTTGTCAAAAGAACCATTTTAGTTTACTCAAGAATACAGTTACCAAAGTATATGGTTAGGATAGCTTGGTGCTTGCTTCACTGATTTATTGATAGGTCATATCTATGGTCAGAATAATACCTTGTTAGAAAGGATATCTGGAGAACGTTCGTGGGAAAAGAGTATTTGGGACAGAACCATGGATGGTCAGTACTTTCCAAGCGCCTTTCACGTGCCTTTTCAGAAGTGTCTAATGTGTAAGGTTTCATAGAATAATCCTGCTCTTGTAGGGATAGCCCAGTTTAAGGTTAGATGAATGCTGTGTCAGAGATGAAGTTTCTAGCTGGGATGTGAAGGTGGGTTTGAGTCCATTTTTGCACAGATCATAAAGGTTCAGAGGTTTACATGGAATGAACTGCACACTAGTGTTTATTGTAGACATTGCATTATGTCAGTGTATTTTTATTGTATGATGTATATTGCATATCTCCATAAGATGAGTAAACTGAACACAGTAATTTGTTGGGACAAGCCAGTAAAAGAAGCAGGAGTTTGTGTCCTCTGGCCAAACGTAAAGAGCGTGCAGTGATCATGTCCATTCAGCACGAGGGCTTGACACCAAAAGTCATCCATGAAGACAGGAGTGCAACACCAGGGAAGGATTCCCCATTCTGTGCAAACGCTAAGTGTGGGCAACAGATTTATATAGTGGCCGGGCGACACTTGAAAACGACCTTAGGAAGGCTGTCATCAACGCCAGTACTGAACCAGGAAGTTGACGATATGGTGAGCATCTTACTGCCAGTCCAGTAGGTATTTCCCGAGGAAGTACATTCCGCAATCACTGAAACTTTGGTAATGGAGAAGTTCGCTGGGTTTCAAATTTTCTGACAACGGATCAAAAACACGTCTGGTTTGTGCGGCGATTTGTGACAATGGATGAAACTTTTGTATACCACTCCCAGACGGATTCCGAATATCAGTCTGTTCAAAAGTCCTCTATCGCAGCTCATTTCTTGATGCTACTATGTATTTTACTTCCTTTTGACGGCAACACAGTTGGCTCCAAAGACTTTGAAACTTCGACAACAAAGGATTTCACTTTGATGCAAGAACTCACCTGTCAACCCCTGTAGTTTTGGTAGCACCATACCTTTGCTCACTGGTTTCATCTTAGCAGTTAACAGACAAACCATGCATCACTTGGACTTTCTTCCAACAGCACAAACTGACACGCTGTTCAAAGCGGCCTTAAAATACACTCGCCTATATCAGGTACTGCCTTGGTTCATCAGTGGAAGAGACCAGCAGCATAGCCATTAAGGCGTGACGACCACAAAATGTATGAGGACATCGTAGATGATTTAATAAACAAAAATACTGTCTGTTTCAAGTTCAACACTATGGGTTTTAGGACGTCATTTACAAGGTGCTATGTATATGACCTAGACATTAGTGCGCCATAAACCCGCTTTTCGCCACTCATACTTCCAACTAAATGTATGCCTTGGGAGACAGTGATTTACAGACAGTTGCATAGCAGGAATAGCTGACTTCCCGAAAAACAAACGCTATATTCTGTACATGGTTACTTTGATGTATCAGTTCTTTCTGGGAAGAGTAGACTAGAACGTGTATAAAACAGTTTCCATGATTTAACTGTATATGGTGATGTTACGTATGTTTTATAGCACCTGACGGTTGACACAGTATCCTCCATATAGCCACCATAACGCTTGTAATGTTGATAACGTAAATCAAACAGAATGAATAATCTCGCTTACAAATGCGATATAACAAGAGTTATTGTCACGTGTTACAAATCATGATAACAAATATTCCAAAATGTCATGGTTACGAACATAACAAAATGGCAGTCTTTGGGATCTAATGTCTCTATTTAACTCTAAGGCTGTCCTGGTTATTCGGCGTAGACAGCATACACTATCCCCGTGGCGTGGATGTTGCCTTGGGTGACGTGCGTCGTGGTATAATTGTCATATCTCTGGTCCCACAGACACCGAGACGAGAACTGCATGCTCTGTGATCCTTTCTCGCCGATCATCACAAAACAGACGAACTTGAATCTCTTCATCTCCAGCTTCTTCACCTGTTCCAGGATCTTGTTGCTCAGCATCATACTCTTGGTCTTCATGGCACCACACTCGTACACGTTCTCCGTGATGTGGTCCTTCAGAACGGCCCTGATAATCTGCTTCACTTCTCCCTCCTTGAACCTGGCGTCTGGCTCCATCTTGTACGTGTTCTCGTACATGATCATGGGGTGGTGGTGATCGTCCGTGACCACGCTGTGGCGGTCGTGGTCCCTCACATGCTTGTCTCGGTTGCTGGCGATGGAGTGGGCAGTGTCCTTGCGGCCGAACGTCCCCGCCCTTGGTCTGCCCCCTGTCATACCTGTCTGAACCGGGTTGATGGTAGCGCCCCGAAGGGTCGGATGTTTGTCCTTGGAATGGTGGTCCGTGGAGTGGTGGTCTTTGCCGTGGTGGTGGTCCTTCTCTGACCTGCCATGATGGCTGCTGCGGTGTTCGGCCTTGACCTCGCTCATCGTGGATCGCTCCTGAAACAAAATCAAAGATGCTAACAAGATGATGAATGGTTTCTGATTTTCAGATTGTCTATAAGCATATAACAATTTGATACTTTGATAATACACTCAGGGGCAAAAGAAATTGTGCGAAACAAGAAGTGACGATATTTTAAAAGACGAGACAAGACGGTTGAGAAATTAAAGTTTTTTTTTTATAATTGATATTTTATTTTGCTTCCCCTGTTACAGATAGGGCCGAAGAGCTAGGGGACTCTAAGGTCCTTTGCAAGAAGGTTCATTGATCACAGGAAAAACAGGATTTTTTTCTAACAAAGCACAAAACAACAACACCAGACACCACAACACATTCACTCACCAATCACACTTACAAGCTTCAAATATTTACAGTAAGTTTAAGTTCAAGTCCATTCAGCCTATATTTTTCATTAGGGAACAAGAAGAAAGAATTCAGAAAATCATTTAAAATTTGCAAAATCATGATATAACATCCACTTTTTATAAAACTTATCTTGTTCACTTTTACTGAAGGATATATTTTTTTCAATAAAATACCTATCTTGTAAATAATGTCTAAAATGTTTAAAACTAAGAGTAGTTTTTAATACCTTACATTTATATATGAAGAATTTAGCTAACAACAATATTAAATCAAACACATCATCAGTATATACATTTGTTCTCATTCCAAACACAATAAGTTGCAGGTCCAATTTCATGTTGTGAACATGTTGACATTTTTCATTCAATAATTCTAGAAAACATTTCCAAAAAGTTTGCACATGTTCACAATACCAAAACAAGTGGGAGATTGTTTCAACCTCACATTGACAAAAGGTACATAAGTTGCTTTCAGCTAAGTTGATCTTAAATAGAAATGAATTAGTTGCGAGAATGCCATGTATAATCCTGAACTGAAACCATTGAAGTTTAGTATCCCTTGTAGTCTTTACAGGTTTTAAAAATATTTTTTCCAATTCAAGTTCAGCAAGCATACAATCCTCCCACGAGAAATTAAAGTTGGCATTGCCAGCTTCCACAAGCTCAAAACAAAAACCTGTGCACAACATCATTTGACGAACATGTGATTAACATATAGTAAAATAAAAAATAATAATAAATTTTGCGTTTGTATTGAATATTTCATGAATAAACAAAATCGACATTCTTATTATCTCCTATATGTTTTTGGACACAGAAATATTTTTAAAATTAAGAACATCTGTTTCCTTTTTTTCGAAGAGTGTGAACATATTTTTCACCCATGTCAAATGAAACCAAGTTGACACAATTCCTAATTCGCGAGCGACCCTTCCAAGAGCGTACTGCAATGATCACCTAGAGAGTGACGATGGCGCTGACAGCTGTCAACAAAGAATGACTGCAGGGCAGAAACTGACCCGGTTCAGGCTATCGATGTCTGAGTATTGACACAAGGTAACCGACATGTCGACAAATAGTTCTACATGCCTAGCTGATCAAGACTCGGGTCTTTTGATCAGACAGAATCAATGCAGGACCTGATCGAGTCGCGTTCATGTTGTGGGGACCCCGGGTCAGGTCCCCAGGGACTCTTATTACGGTTCTTGTGATTTAGTTCGGGTTTACTGTTTCATATCGTACTCCGAAGGAATCAACAATTCGACATGTCACTTATCTTAACGTCACATTATGTTTTATATGTCTAAAAAAACACAAAAAAATAGTTTAATCCTAGAATTTATGATACTGTTGTATTTACGCATCATGTGTTACGCCATATTAACACTATATCGAGAACAACGTAAGGACCCTGAGCTGCATTGGTCCTCCAGCGCCTGTCAAGCAGCGGATCCGGCCACCCATGAAAACAGGTGATATTTAGGGGCCGACGCACTGAGTGGGCTGGTAATAGACATTTATATACGGGGTGGGTTTGGCTGTGCGAGTTGGAGGGAGCTGGACGTTTACACGCACCCAGTTTAATCACACAACCAGTGTTTGCCCGGGTGCTCCAAGGACTATCCAAACTCAGCAGCCATTGTATCCATGCAATCCGCAAACTGACCTTTCACGAATATGTTTCATACTTGTGGTATACCTCCTCGTCCCCGCTCTTCTATGCTTGGTTAGAAGAGAGATACGTGAAAATTGCAGATTGATATGGCACGCTGATATAAAACACATGCCAGATTAACCCCACAATATCTGACATAGGTGATCAGTAAGTGCTGTATCTGTCGAGTGACACGGGTATGATAATCCGATAATCTGTGTGAAAACTGCGGCAACATCGCACATAAGCCGTTGTGGATCACGTACTCAAATCAAATTTCAGAAGTGTTTTATCGATTTGTATGTCCTTGCGACGGGTTGTATGTATTTATGGACCAACCGGTCCTTTGATAATCCGGACGCTGACAAGTCGGACCCTTGACAATCTCAGTAATCATAGCACCGAGCTCAGGCACGTCAACAGGGGCAGCTGGTGCTCCGAGACGTGTCATGGACGTCTCAACAAAGTTTCTCCTTTTCAGGTTGGGCCAGCTTTAACCACAATATTGTGGTAGCCTTATGGTGAGTGAGTGAGTGAGTGAGTGAGTGAGTGAGTGAGTGAGTGAGTGAGTGAGTGAGTGAGTGAGTGAGTGAGTGAGTGAGTGAGTGAGTGAGTGAGTGAGTGAGTGAGTGAGTGAGTGAGTTTTACGCCGCGTTTTATTCCAGCTATTTGGCGGCGGTCTGTAAATAATCGAATCTGGAAGAGACAATCCAGTGATCAACAGCATGAGCATCGATCTACACAATTGGGATACGACGACATATGTCAACTAAATCAGCAAGCCTGACCACCCGATCCCGTTAGTCGCCTCTTACGACCAGCAGTGGTTACTGGAGATCAATTCTAACCCGGATCTTCACGGGTATGATGAGGGTTTTATGGACGGGTGCTGGGATCAGCTAGCAATTCTACCAAAACAAAATAACAGTGATATGTACTTTAAATACAAATAACGGAACCTATTTTACTGTTGAGCAGGTGTAGGTGGAGTGTGAAATCTATCACTACGTTGTCCATCTAACCGTGAAACCAACATATCTTGAGGTCGACTCATTGTTACAGTATTTGTATAAAAGATTGTTATCAATCACGGCTTCATACCGGTACACAATAGCAATACAGGACAGGGCAACTCTGTTTTCATGAATCGGTCAAAACGCTGGATTAAACAGCGACTGGTGTCTTCATGGAAATATACACGTTTATGATGAAATTGATCACTGTGATCCGTGTATGTCTGCCACCAGGGCCTCTTTGTTGACAGTGGGTGGAATGCTATTGACAACATAATGTACAGTTAAATAGACCACTTTGGAATTCTTACACCGTAAAATACGATTTGATGTGATATTAAGTGACCGGATGATATATTTACGGGGTACGGGACAACTAAACAACCAATCTTCACACTACATTAATAGGAATAACTGCCAGCCAGAACAGGCGTATGTTGCTCTGAGTGTGGATTTCCTAGCTGAACTGGTGTAATTACAGCATGGAATGGGATTTGTATGACAACACCGTATCTACACAAACTATAGATGTTTTGGTGAAGTCTTTATAAAACATGCGTGTTTGATTTGATACAGCGCGTATGTCGTCCAAAGAGTCGACCCGTGAAGATCCTGGTTAGAATTGGTCTTCAGTAACCCATGCTTGTCGTAAGACTAACGGGATCGGGTGGTCAGACTTGCTGACTTGGTTGACATATGTCGTCGTATCCCAATTGTGTAGACCGTGGCTCGTGCTGTTGATCACTGGATTGTCTGGTCCAGACTCAATTATTTACAGACCGCCGCCATATAGCTGGAATATTTCTGAGTGCGGCGTTAAACAAACCAACCAAACAAAAAGTCACGGAATATTTAAGTCTAGAAATGCCTGCAGTGACTCGTTTGTAGCATGATAGGAATCTTTAGCCTTTGATCACGACACCCCTTCTTTTTTTGTTTGGTTTTGCAATTGCAAACACAACATGACACGTTTTTTTCACAGGAAAAGCATCAAAACACGCAAAATAATATGACATAAAGTCACATGTATTGACTAAATGTCACGAAAGATTGTAATAAAATATTAAAATTAGTGGGAAAGTAATTGAAGGTTTGGCGGTGGAATGTAATAAAGTTTTCTGTTTATTTGTATTTATCCTAAGGAAACTAGACGCTAGCAACACTCATGTATAGCTGCTCAAGATAACAGTGTACTCGTTCATGCATACAAAAACTCAATGCATTATTTCTGTGCTTATAGCGAATCCAGCAAGCGGCTATAGTTGTCCCCTATAAATGTCCCCTCCTGCATGTTTCTGCGGAGGGCGATGTCAAACAACTAAACAAGACAATAAGTCTCAAAGATGCACTAAGTTTTACATTATTAAAGGAGGGCTACGCTCGTGAATTTGGCAGTCCCAGCCAACTCTATTCAAGTTATTCAGAAACCAATTACTACTCTAATCCAAGTCTTACTATGTTATCAACCTAGTAGCTAAGGACAACATTGATAACATATCTAAACTGTTTTAGTTTCACTTCACATTCAGTTTACAACTTTACAACGTCCAGTGTGCCGTCGTACAATGCGATCTTAGCGCTAAGGTGACCGTAATTCCCTTACCTTAACATAGACTAAGGTAGTTTTCTACAACAGCGCCCAATCTGCACACCAGGCTAGCTATTCTCGAAACATTCGTAGCCCTACGTAAACTTCTTACGCCCATTCTTAACACAATGGCTACGATCAAAGTTAAGAATTCTTAGGGCTACGAACGTTTCGAGAATAAGGGCCCAGGCCCGAGAGCATTAACCTCAGAATATATCGTCGTGATTGCTTTAATGTTATAATATGATCATATCGACAAGTTTCTTTCTGTCGCTGTTTTAATTAAAGAATACGAGGTCGTCGTTTTGGCTAAACTTGTCAAAGATCGTAAAGGGCTACATGGGAGTTGCTGTTCCTGATACAGGAACCGTGCTGGTGCTAGATATCCCCTGTCCTCGACGAGTGCCAGGTTGCTGTTCCTCATACAGGAACCGTGCTGGTGCAAGATATCTCCTGTCCCTCTACGAGTCGTACGGAGGCGTGGGTTGGACGCTGTTGACTGACAGAGACTGTTTTCCAGAATGTATCGTTATGTGGAGTCATATAATATTTCTGGTCTCATACTAGAGTAAAATATAGATATGTTATAGTCTCCTTCATTCTCTGTTCATTGTCAACGGGTTTTCTATATTTACACCAATGTATAACTTGTTCTTGTCACGGTTAAGATGGTAAACTTCCTGTTTGATTTTAAACTTCAGCTCTTTACTATGGTACTTGGTACTTCTGCTTCAGTAGAATGAAATGCCACCTGCATTCATATCCCCGGCAGATCTGTGTATGATCATGTTATTAATAGCTTCAGAATGCTGTCCAGGAATAACACTTTAGATGGCAATGAACCGCTAATCTCCCCCACTGTCCGCCTCAAGTGATTTGATTTGGCTAATATTGACTCTCACTCGTGCACTTCTGTATTTCGGCAGCAATGAGACGTCGTTCAAATATCTGTAGACGCTGTCTGAGACGTCTAGATCAACACATTGACATGTATGGCAGTTGTCAGGGTCAACAAGTGAGATACAACATAAGGACATATATCGTCATGGACTGGGTCTGGTGTCACAACTGGTGGTTGGTTGAACAAAGTACTGGAACTCACGACGTTTATTCAAGATGACCCGCTTTGTTTTGTATTGGAATATATAACCACCAAGTTAGCTTTTAATATAGTGTGATCGCTTTGATGTGAGGGAGCACAATGCGCTCAACGTGATATACTTAAACTTTAATGGACACAGTTGTCTCCAGACACTGCCATGTACAGTGTAATAGCATTCGGGATGAGTGTAGTATGTATAACCGTCACAAAAACAGAAATAAATGCTTTCGACATGACTGCTTAAGGAGCGTTCAGCTTACTGGACCATGAATCTGAAACTTGAATTACATTGCTGTGTCTGTGATCAATTTTCCTTTCACACGTAAGAACATTCTATTTCACCATTGCAGCCAATGTCAAACATTTTGAAAATAATTCAATGTCGTGAATCGAGTAAAACAACGTCAGTCTTTAGTAGATAAGTAGTCATGACGTCAGATTTACATTCAGCTCATTACATTCAGATCAGCACCATATTGATTCGTGCATATTACAACAAGGAAAAATATTTGCGCTATCTTTCGGTCATATTTTGTATGGTGAAATGTCCTTCCCAATCATTTCCTAGCAAGCAATAATGGATCGCTTTATATGACATCCAGAAGTCCTAACTTATCTAACGCAAGAAAGCCTATAGTTACACCGCCCATAATTCATGTTTAGCCCAGGAATACATATATCAACACCGTTACGGCTATTAACATGACATGACAAGTATAGGGCACTTATGGCATGTATCGGATAGATAAGGTCGGTGGATACCCGTAACAGAAACAATACAACATGCTATGTCCACATCGGCTATCGGTTGTCCAGGCGGGTGTGTTAGGTGGGGCAGAAGTGGGTCGCTGGGTCACTGATACACGACAGCCTATGATTAGCCATGAAGAACCCTATTCCATGCAATACACCCCATAAACCGTCACATCGAGTGCTCAAACCGTTCAAACTTATGAACCTGCATATATTCAGAAGAACATGATATACAATATATTTTATTTTTCAAAACGTCATTCTATCATTCTATAGTCCCGATGCTAGACAAAGGTGGTTTATGTTATAACAATATATTTGTCTCAGTTCAATCAATACAAATAGCGATATAGATAAACATACAATAAATATTATTGAGCTACGGTTGTCTGTTGATTGGGTGTAAGTAGTTGAACCTGGATCAGGCAAACGAGTGAGTGAGTGAGTTTGGTTTACGCCGCTTTAGCAATATTCCAACAAGATCACGGCGGGGGACACCAGAAATGGGCTTCACACATTGTACCCATGTGGAGAATCGAACCCGGGTCTTCGGCCTGACGAGCGAACGCCTTAACCACTAGGCTACCCCACTGCTCCCTGACAAACGAGTGAGTGAGGACATGAAGTATGTTCCACTAATCAGGGATCAATGGAAGATCGAAACCTCATTCATCCGGTACCGAATCCTGGTGGTTACAGAGACCTGGGTTCGATTCCCCATTGTTTAAGTTTATTATCTTTTCCCTGTCGTGATATGGCTTGATGTTTACAAACAGCGGCGTAAAAGCATACTCACTCACTCACAAAATCAATGAGAATGTGTTGGTGTGGTGCTTGACGCCACAGTAAGCAATATTCAAGTGATGTGAGATGACCTATAGATAAATGTGGATCACGCAAACCAGTGACTGATACAATGAACAACGATCCAAGTTGTCGTGGCACGTTGATATGATGTCAACCAAATCACCGAGCCTGACCGAACTTTTGTCGTCACTTATGATACAGATGGGAAAGAATGTTGCGCCATGAACATACAGTGGATAGAAGTGTATGGATGGGTCCTGTAGACGTATTTCAATCCAGAATACAAGTGAGGGGTGGGGGGACAGGTATGAAGTATGGATCAAGACAAGGATCCTTACGATAGTTGTAACTAATGGTGTTTCCTAGTCACACCTGTTTCTAACTGTCTAAACGCACAATATTTCAGATAACAACAATTTATTGTTTTTTTCCCTTAACACAGAAGTGGGAAATTGCCTGACTGGGTCATTTGAGGTCATTATCCCGTCTGATGTAAACAATTTATCTTGAAGATCTTAGTAACCCGATGCGTACAAGCAAACACACCGGAACTGGCTCTAGAGCTTGACGCGAAGTCGACATACCTGATTGCATCGACGTATACAAATACATTGCGTGTCGGCATGGCAGTAATCTGTGCATCTATACAAAATACACGATAAAGATCGACTCAGTCGGCAAAAAGTAGTTACAATGGGGAAACAGCGATAACGAGGGGCAAGACTTTACAGTGATGAATAACGCCGACATAGGAGAACTGCCTATGTGAGGTTGTAATGCCTTTACACATATAATTCCGCTGGGATAATTATACCACTTAATTAACAATACAATTCAAAAGATTTTGTGTACTTAATAATAATACTAAACACATTGGAATTCATTTCACTTGGCGCAGAACTGAAGCGATTATGTTCATAGTTACTGATTTGTCAACCCAAGTGAGTGAGTGAGCGCGCGAGTGAGTGAGTAAGTGGAAATTATAAAACATATATATTTCAGATACTAGTATATCCCGATGTGTCAGCTGAATTTCTGAAGAAGTCATGCAAATCCTAGAATATATATTGATATCGGTAAGGCAACTGAATGAAAGTAGAAATATACATGTTAATAGCATTGAGACTGGAAAACAACCCTATTATTGAACTGTAAAATATCACCGCATACGAATAAAACTACAACATTCAAACATGGTATGTGATATTTGACTAATGACAAATATATAAGCATGTCGCATCATGATTAACCGCCAATATTCGAATTTTCATTCACAGTGTTATTGATAACTAAAAACAGCTTTATCTGAAAATGAATGATATAATTAATAAATATATGAAACAAAATAACACAGAACATTATAAAGAATAATTATTGTAAGCATCACATTATTAATGGAGAGGAAAATGTCTTTGTTATAAGGAACAGTTGAACAGTTTGAACTCACCTCTCCAAGCGAGCCTATATCTACCAGCTCTTAACACGGCAGTAAACAGCGGCTGTGTTGGATTTCACCAGTTTGTTTTTTGATTGTTTTGAGAAGTAAAGCCTCCCTGGTAACACAATCTCAGGTGGAACTCGACTGAGGGGTGGCTGCTCGGCGCTTGTGAAGACATTTATAATATTTCTCGACTGTTGGGCTGCGACAAGGCGCTGTGATAGGCCGCTCACTGTTATCAGCACTCGCTCAAAGCGCTATTGTACCTGTTCGATAATTAAAGGCGTACTCCCTCTGGTATATTTGCAGGACTTGGTGGCTGCTTAGAAGTCTTTGTGGAATCCATAAAGGCCTTATTAGCTCATGATTTTTATTTTATCGCATTCTAAGCGTTATTTATTAGCAGTTAAACCACGACAGCAACTATATGTTTACTCGTGTTTATATGCACTTCTTGTATTTTGTTATAGGTGTGGTAATGTTGTTGTTCCAACATGGAGCTGGAATGTTGATGTTACAGATGACAACGCTACAGCTGTGGATCCGTGACCTGTAGCGGGACCAGACCAACCAATGATTGATAGCAAGACCAACAACCACGTCAACGGACTATACTGAAATATAAGAAGCCAGGTCCTTCATTGTTTCCCTATTTCAATCAGCTGAAGTACACAGGGTACTTGTGACCTTATCAACACAACAATTGCCTGGAAATCATAACAAACATACTTTTTTCACTTCTGTAACACAATTTATGTCCTCGTGTGGACTCCAAGCCAGAGTAAACCCCCGTGTACCATACTTGTCATGAGAGTCGACTTGGAATCGGGTGGCCAGTGGGAGTGTTCTGACTGATCGTGCCATCGCCCCCACGGAAAGTCTCGTCAGTTGCTCATGTTATCAGCCCGTTCAAAGCGACCTTAGTGATAAGATTATCGTAACTCGTAATACTTAACAAGGGCTTACGGCAATCGTAGCGCTAAGATCGCTCTGTGGAACGGGCACACGGCCTAGATTTTCGAAACAATCTTAAAGCTAAGATCGGAAAGTTTCCATATTGTATCTTTGGGCGTAAGTGGTAAAGATTAATCTTGAAATCACATCGAAAATCTATGCCTGGTAATCTGTTGGCCCAGGCTCAATATAGAACTTGCAGAAAATCATGAGTTGACACATTGCTCACTGCAACATAAAACAACATTCACTCGTTCCATGTGCTTCATACTGTGTATCTTGGCAACTAATCTGCTGATTTATTACTAGCAGCGACGCAATAAAATAGATCAGTGAATGAAGTATACTTGCCCACAGCGCCAGTGGACAGTAGGGAGGGCCTGTAGCGCGGGGGTGGGAACTGGGGTGGTGACGTCGGGGCCACCAATGGATTCCTTTCTGATCTCCTGAATATGTGATGCATCGATTTTACGCTATATAACTCTAGATCGCGCTCAGTAAGAGATACGCAGGTGTTCGGGGTGTTAGCTAACGGCTGTAGCCAGTACTCGGTCACCCCGATAAGACGAACAGTTCTCCGCTGTGTTTGTTTAGGAATTGTTTATAATTACTGCCAAAGACGCTGACACCTCAGATAAAAATGATGAATGTGAAGTCATTTAGTCATGCTGGCTGGGATAAAGCTTAACTTCACCTTTACGCCTGTAGCTTATGTCCGACGTGTATTTCGATACTATTTACCTGGATACGAGTGTGTATAGTTGGGATTAGTGTGAAAGGAGGGGCAGCTCCACATAGGGAGTTTAATTATAACCCTTCTCTATCGGAATATGAAAGAATATCCTGCATGTGGCGGTGGGGAACTACCCGGGTTGGAGCCTGACACAGACAAACCATAGTTAGAAACAGTACAAGATGAACGGCTTAACTGTGGATTCGAACTGACAACTGACTCCACATTTGAGATTGGTAACTCTTCTAAACATGCAGTAAAGTGCATGCATACGTGTTTGGTTTGTTGAACTACATCGGAATGAGACTGCAGATTATTTGGCCAAAGACAATGTATTACATTTTGCATATTGAATAAACAGATTCTTGAAGATTTTGAAACCGTTTTATCGAAGACAATTTTATAAATTAGCAAGCATTGTTGAATGGTTTTATTTCCGGTCGACATATGTACAAATCTTTGTTAAACAAAACAGAGTATCAGTAATCAGTAACAGTAATACTAGTAAGGCAAAATATGGATGTCAACTTCTTCTTTACTGTATACACAACGTTTCTGGGCTATTCCTTGCCTTAAGTTGTGTATACAATAAAGAAGAAGTTGACATCCATAATATTCTGTCTTATACTAAATACCAACTTCTATATGTCTCTCAAGAACCTCAACGGTAATACTTGTTAATAACATTTATCGTTGTCAAAGGCGTGATGAGGTCATTCTTATACTACTCCAACTTGGACACTGTGGGCTATATGCCTACAGGAGTGTCATGGTTGTTAAGACGTACTTTTCTGAACGTGGCCTTTGTATTTTGGAGACGACTGAATGTGTAGAACACTACCCAAATCAGATGATCTGGGCAGTAATAGACTGTGTCTCTTTATCTGTAGAATAGGACATAATTTAGGTACCCTCTCAAATGGCAAAACAGGTTTTGTACTGTCATTTTAAATGATTTTTACATTCTCTCATGGTCTGTTTTGTTATTGAACGAGTATTTCATGTCTCAGAAATGAAAGTGACTGCTTAAGATTATAATTCATGCTATGAGGCAGAGATTTTGTCTCTAATTTATTTTCGTTATTCCATCATTATTATTTATGCACAATGTACACATGTGTCCAAATTACTGTTACGTATGATGTTAGAGTATGGTTATGTAATCTAAACTATTTCGTGTCGATGTTTTTGGATATGAAATACGTTCTGATTTTTTATTAAGCTAAGTCAATGTGTTGGGCGCAAATAGGTCTTCTGTTAGCCGACGTCGCCTACCACCACGACAACGTATCCATGATCCATGATTTAATCGTGGCAACTAGTTAAAGAAAACATTTTATACTGATCAAATGCTTAGTTTGTCATGCGCACGTTCTGTATGTTTTGGATGTACGTCATTTACTAACATATACATATATGTATATAGATATTTTAATGAGCAATAATGTTTTATTAGGGGCATAAAAATGGTTAGGATAATAATGATACGAAAACGTTTAATGATAACAACAATGACAATTGTGAAATTGTAAGCAATATGATTAACAAGCAAATAAATAAATAAATAAATAAATAAATAAATAAATAAATAAATAAATAAATAAATAAATAAATAAATAAATAAATAAATAAATAAATAAATAAATAAATAAATAAATAAATAAATAAATAAATAAATAAATAAATAAACAACGGTAAGTTAAGCTCTGCTGGATGTATAACTTCTTTGCATTTGTCCACGACTGTGTAGCTGGTATCAGTGCCGATGGGGTGGAATGCCGTTTGGTACAACACACACGGGGGTAAGTAGGTGACTGAATGGAGGGTCAGAAATATCTACACAAATACTTACCGTGGAAGCTACATGTCACTTGATAACATCAGTATCGGGGCTAATTAGACCCTCCAGCGGTGACGGGTGCAAACAAGCCCCTGACATCGACACACTACCTACTTGGCTCAAGTGTTTATCTGGAACAGATTAGTCTCCGGCAGACCAGGGGTGGAATACGTACAGGAAAGTACATTTAACTTCATTACTACACGTGATGTACTCTAACCAATGTGTGATCAATGTATGTGTTGTGTCTGTCAACTCTGTTACATAGCAATGTACACCGCCTGGCGAAAGATGTATATGTCCTATCATGTTTCATGGAAAATAAAACGAACATAAAATGGTTACTGTATATTAACTCCATCATATCAGTAACTCACAAAAGGTAGCGTGTAGGTATGACGTCTCAAGAGACGTCATATCTCAAAGTACGCCGTATTGAGTGAGAGTCGTGATCAGTTGGCGTTGGATCACAGACACGGGACATTCTTAGTAACGATTATGATTACCACGAGGACCAATGCACGCTCAGATTGGCGGTCATCAAAGACGGTCGTCCAAATGACCCTACATGGGTTCAGTGTTGTTGATGTTACGTTGAGCGAACTGGACATGGATGAACGGCGACTTTGTCTGGAGTCATGACATAATATCCCTTGTTGCTGTTCGTGAAGGAGCGAGTGAGTTGGGTTTAGCAATATTTCAGCAATATCAGGGCGGGGGACACCAGAAATGTGCTTAACATGTTGTACCCATTTGGGGAATCGAACCCGGGCCTTCGGACGATTTTGTACTGCCCTTGCCCAGTGCAGTGTTCGAACGATGATGTTCATGACGCAGGGCCATACCACGGGAGTGAGTGAGTGAGTGAATGAGTATGGTTTTACGCCGCTTATAGCATCATTCCAGCAATATCACGGCCGGGGACAACAAAAATGGGCTTCACACATTGTACCCATAAAGGGAATCGAAGCCCGGTCTTCGGCGTGACGAGCGAACGCTTTAACCACGAGGCTACCCCACCGCCCCAAGGCTCTGATACCGGTCATACTCAGAGAAGTCGAAGCACAGTGTGTGGTCAACTGATGCGGCGTCCTAACGCTGTTGCTGTCGTTTCCGTTGTGTCGTTCCTGATCTTGCCCTGGCCTGTGTACTGCCATTTTGTATGCAACGTTCAAACCAACGATGGCTGTACTATACAGATGAAGGTCCCTCCAATCTGACTTTGGTTGGCACCTATGTACATAATTATTCCTCTCCTCTCTCTTTTATGCATTCAGCTGGTAGATCTTTACTGCATTTTCAGTGATGTCTGGACAACGATCGATTGTATTTTAAACGTTAGTTGTTTATTTGAACCCTGACTTTAGTATGTTCTGTGTTTATGGAGGGTTTTACGTTAAAGAAACGATGCCCACTCAGAAACCAGTCAGAAGACAGTCGTCTGCTAGCGAACGTGGCCTATTTTCCTAGATTCATAGAAAGGTAAACACAAAACATTAATAAAAAGGTCATAAAATGCCATTGTATCACACTTGCAATTTCTCTACTTGTCCACCTACCTTCCTTAGCAGATGCGTTTAATTATCAATGACGTCATACACTTATGACGCGTCTGTTCTCTCTGTGACGTCATGTCATTGTCTCGCTACTTGCCC